CATTCGTCAGGCCACTCCGCCATGACTGTCGCTGAGTGCTATACACTTGGTTTTGGAGGATCACACGACATTACTCAGGTTGTCCAGTGGCTGGGAACAGCAGCTTCGAAGGGCTTCAAGAAGGCTGGGCTCGTATATCACCGAGTTTGCGAGGCTGTTGACATTCAACCGCAAGACTTGAGCGGTGCCGACGAAGGAAAGGCCTTAGAGATGTCTCTGAAAGGCATCCCCACTGAGGACTACTTGTCGGAAAGAATCCTTCACCACAGCCGGACCGTTCTCGAAAATGCGCGACATAAGATCCTTGGCCATGACGCCAGATCGCTCCTTTCAATGGCAGATGGGATATTTCTCTCCACTTTTAGTGAGGCCAAAACGGATACTTTACTTCCACTGCATGCAGCTTCTTGGCTTGGGGAGGAGGCCCTTGTGTCGGAGCTATTGAAAAGCACTCCACCAGATGCACAGTCAGCATTGGGCTTCAACGCCGCGCACTTTGCATGTCTCGGAGGCCATCTTTCGGTTCTCAAGCTCTTGAGTAAGCACAACGTGCCTCTATCGACAGCTAGTCTCCAGCTGATAACGCCTCTACACTTGGCAATCTTCTTCCAGCCTAGTGACCTCGCGTCAGCTGTGAATCTTCTCCTTGAGCATGGTTGTTCCCTTGAAGTACGCACGCATACAGTCAAATGGGATGCTCACGACCTTTCGATTTATGGCACACCAATTCAATGGGCATTACAGACACGAAATAGGACCCTTGTGCGTATTTTATTGCCACTACAAGCGCAATCGCCTTATCCTGAGTGGCTGGATAACGCTATACAGGACTTTTACTGGGAGCTGTTGGAGGATCTTCTGCCTTATTTCCAAGGCCCAATGGATGATGTCGTTACATTGCAGCCCGCAACGAGGCCATTTACTCGGTACATTGCTCACGGTCGAGACTATGGCCAAGCCATCGAAAGGACTGTCCGGCTATGTCATGATAACGGGATTTTGGGCTTCACCTCGGACGGCCTATCTCAGCTCGATCTCACAATGACTTCTTCGCGTACATTAACCGACTTCTTGATGTTAAACTGTGCTTTGGATGTATGTTCGGCAGACTACATACGGTACAGAGGGCCTGAACCTTTTAGTGCCCCTTTAATCGTCTCTGCATTCGGGCGAACCAACCACCAGGAAGCTCTTCGCGACACTCTGTCCCGGCTGACCAAGTATTATACACTTGATGAGTTGGAAGATGGCCGCCTGGCCGATGACTATAATCTTCTTGGGGTGGCCGTTGCTCGTAACAATGTGACGGCGGCACGTATCTTACTCGAAAGAGGAGTGGATGTCAACAAACCATACGCGATTGGTGGTGTTTCCATCATGAACCCGATTCAAACTTGTCTTTTTGGGAGACCATTGCCCGAGATGCTGTCGCTGTTGGTCGAATATGGTGCCGACCTTCTGGCCAAATGCTCTATGACGAGTCTAACACCACTACAACTGCTCCTTATCGGTCCAGTTCAAGTGGGCGACATATTGAATATCCTAGCCAGCCATTCACAGCCTGATCAGGTTTATGTTGAGACTCTGTACAGGAGCTTTGCAAGGTTCTGTTACATGACCGTTAGATATGGCCTGCGGACCTCACCCAGTAGCCAGGAGTTGAAGAAGCCTCAGCTGCGGACACACTATTTGGAGCAATTCCGTCGGCTGCTGATGGACCCTAGATTCGTTTGCTTCATCGATGAACCCTTTCATCCGGATGGCTCTACAATGATCCAGCAAGCGGCAAGCATAGTGCACCATCCCGCCGTTCGGCTGCTGCTGGATGCAGGGGCCGATGCAAGTAGACCATTCATCCGCGGTAATAATTCGATACTTCCACTTCAGCTCGCAGTATTGAAAGGGAGACTACTACAGGAGGCGAAAATCGAGAGTCCTGACCCCTTACCAGGAACTGAATACATAAGTATGGATCTGGTCATGGAGGTTGCAACAGAGCTCCTGCAATGGCATCTGGCACGCAGCGACGGCCTATTTGATGGTATCAGCGAACTCCACATTGCATACTCTATGATGTATGCCGAAGGAATCAAGAAATATCTTGAGGCAGGTCAGAGTCTGGAGGCAAAGGGACATTGGCCCGGGATTGAGAATGCGGTAACGCCTAGAGAGCTCTGTCGTGATTCATTTTGGAACTATAAGTCGGGTTATAGCATTCAACTTTATCCACTTGTGGAAGAAGAAGGGCTTAGGCAGGAGTACAGAGATCTATTAGCCGGAATGCCGAGGGAAGCGGGACTGCTAGAGAATGCCTATCCAGGATATGCAGAATATATGCAGAATACCTAAAGCACTAAGTACTTAAGCAGGTTTTAGGTTTCACAACTACTGGATGGTCTATATAGCACTGTTTGAAATTTGTCCGGACGTGTTCCTGGGTAGTCAGATGCAGGGAATGATGTACCTGCTGCCGATTCCTTGCAATTCCTTATACTGCTAATAACAAAAGCCCAAGGGTTCCTATACTCTATTCTTCCTTCGCCTTCATCATTCTTTCAGTGTACTCCCTGCCAGCCTTTAACCACCATGCACCAATCAGTATTGCCAGACCGCCAACCACAACGCAAGTGTAGTTCATATTCGCAACCTCGACTGGCATAACGTAAGGGAAGGAGAAGAAGATAATGGCAAACGTAAGCCAGCAAACTGTCACAGTGTTGACAATGGGTCCGATCGTTGGACCCATGTGGAATACGCCTTTGTGCATGTTCTTCCTGCCGGTAAGTAGGTTGGTGAGAATCGGGAACATGTAGGAAATGTTGTTGATGGTGACGGCCGTTCCCAGAAGGGAGTTGAATGCGGTCGATGAACCAAGATATAGGCATCCGAGAGCAGCAATGACAGCTGTGACTGCAAGCTGGGAATTGAACGGGATCTTCAGGCTTGGGTGGACCCTGGACCAGCTGGAGTATGGTTAGAAATGGATCTCTCGAGTGGTGGAGTTATATACTTACACCTTGGATAACGGAATCGCTCCGTCACGGGAGAAGGCCCAGAAAATTCGACCAGTGCTAAGCTGTGAGCTAATTACGCATGGACCGAGAGCGATGAACAGGATGAACAGAAGACCAAAGGCACCGCCAGTCTTCTGGGTGACTTGGCGGAAGAGCTCTGCAAGCGGCATTCCCGTGTTGCCTGCCGTGAGCTGTTCAAAGTCCTGGATCGAGAACATGAGACTGACGAGATACGTGAGACCAGTGCAGAACGCGATGATCAAGGTAATGGCGATGGCGAGGGGAGCATTCTTCGAAGGCTGCTTCCATTCAGTGGCTGCTCATGAATATATAAGGATCAGTAGAACTTACGTTGGGCATCTCTTCTGTGATATGCGTCACTCCATCAAGACCGCCAAGAGAGTACAAAGGGTTAACCAGACCAGTAATGAAGCAAATGGCATTGTTGTTCCAACCAGTCGTGTTGATCCAAGTCCTGAAGACGAATTCGGGATCACGGTGTGTTGGGGCGCACGCAACTACGGTGACCAGCACAACGAGCCAGCCGATCTGTAGGTAGAAAAGCGAGAACTTGTTCAGGGCGGGGATTATCTTGTTGCCGAACATGACAACGCCAGCGGTAAGTAAGTTCAAGCCTTGGTAGACGATGAAAGTCTGCCAGGCCTTGATCTCGAGGTCGGATATGTATAGCGCGATCAATGCCATGAGGATTTGTGCGTAGATGATGTTGGTGGATGCAGTCGTAAAGATCCCTAGGGGCTGTCAGTGGCCAAGACTCTGCTAATCACAGGAGATGACTTACAGCCAAGAACACTGAACCAACCAGTCAGGAAACTCAAGATGCCAGTTGCTCTTCTCGGAGCCACTGCCGCGATCCAATGATACATGCCACCTTCCGTAGGGTAAGACGACACAAACTCGGCGAGTGACGCTCCAAGGAAACATTGCAGGACCGTCACGAGGATGAAGCCGTAGATGACCGCACCAGGACCTCCAGCTCCAATTTCAGTGATCAGGCCAAGACCTAATCCTGTCCATGAGATAGTCGTCGTAGAGGCCAGACCGATCAGACTCAGAGTGCTGAAATGCCGGTTGAGCTCTTGGGTATGACCTGATTGCGAAGGTTAGTACGACCGATCATTCTGATCGATAGCCATGACCTGTTTGACGAACCCATTTGCGCCAGACGAAGTTCATCGGCGTTTATCTCGGCCTTTGTCTCCGAAATATCCAGACTCCGCTTCATGCTGGATATACCTTGATCGTCTGGTGCATCCATTGTCGCTGAGGATAAGTCGCGATTCTCTTGTCTGTAATGTCACGATCGTAAATGTAAGGATATGAACCAGCCCTGCAGAGGTTTCATCATGGCTTCTGGGGTCACGCGAGATATAAGCATATTCATACCCTAGCGCGTTATCTTAATCCTCGAACGATAGCTTATCGGGTAGTCGGCACAACGCTCACATGTTGTGTAAGCATTGTGATATGCAGATCCCCTGTTCAGAACGGGTCTATGTAACCCACATTTCGTGCCTCTCCAATCGCGGAGACAAGTCGGATACAAGCGCGATAATACAGATGCACAATCAACGGCCAACTGCGGACCGGTTCGGCTAAAGCGCCGGTGAACGCCGTGATTAGATAGGATATCTTGAATCAAGAGATCGGTCTTGTGAGCCAGATAAGGCCGTAGTCTATGCGGGGTAACCAGCCCCTCCACATGGTTCATGTACTAGCATCGGGGAACTGAGCTAGGGTTATCATTGCGATACGTGGAAATTGGAAGGTCTGAACTCGAAGATGTTGATCGGCAGACTCTCGCATGACATGATGCCGAACTCGGCTTTCATGGTAGAATGGGGTTAACATCTCGCGCAACTAGTCTGTACCGATGTATAATAGTATGGCTTATAACATGGCATGGCCTCCTCGCACCTCTTCTTGTCTCTATCCACTCATACAGGTCGAGACAAAGTTGCAGTCATGCGTTTCTCATCCATCATAAGCCTTGCAGCTCTTGCAATCAGTCATGGAGATGCTGCCGGTAGCTATGTCAAGTCCATGTCGCCGAATGCGCAACAGCTCTTCACTGAGTCGATGGAATGGATGGATACCTTCTACGATAAGAAGGCAGGTTACCTGTACGACTTTAGCGCCTCGGTAGCTCTCCGCCATGAGACACGCAGCTCAGTCTGGTATGCCTTTGGTCTTTTGGCAAGAAACGAGGGGTCAGACGCCGCCGAGGCTGAGAAGATCATCAAAAACACCATTGATGCTCAGTACAAGGTCCCTGCTGATGAATGGTATGTCTAGCAGCCAATAGCGTAACTCGTTTAACTCTGACACTGCTTTAGGTATGGAGACTATCAACAGGAGCCTGAAGAGCCATACGTTGGCAGCCCAGCTTACCCTCCCAAGATCTACGGTAGCTGGGACCCCAACTGGCGCGGTTTCGTTGGTACGACCTTGGTCATGTGTATGGAAGAGTTTCCTCACTTGCTCAGCAAGAGCACCCAGAACCTGATTCTACACTCCCTGCATAACGCGACTAAGGGCGACGAGTACCGTTTCGGACACCTCGACAAGACGAAGGACAACCTTTACCCCTCCTACAGTAACCCTGTAAGTATTTCTGGCCAGGTGCTTTCTGTTTTACACGTTCTCTAACCGTGGTGATACCAGTCTATCATGCGTGCCTTTGTTTCTGGTTGGACCGGCCGTCGTCTCAATGACCGAAACATGACTGTAGGTGGCGAGAAGTACGCTCAAGAGATCATCGATCTCTTCAACAAACACAACACCCTCTCCGAATTCAACTCAGGAACCTACACCGGCGTGTCTCTTTTCGGTCTCATCTTGTGGAGCAAGTACTTGCCCAAGGACTCAGTTATGACTAAGAACGGGCCACGAATGGTTGAGAGCACCTGGGATGCTGTTTCCCAGCTGTGGCATCCAGGTATGAAGAACATAGCTGGTCCCTGGGATCGAGCTTATGGTTATGATATGAACCGCTACCTCAGCTTAATGGCTTTGTGGTTCTGGACTTTGACTGGAAAGGAGAGCTCCTCCCTGTCTTCTCATGTATTCAATCCCTGATCCTTACGGCGGCTGCTGGATTACTGACGCTGTGTATAGCCTCAAGTCATGTCGCACATGGCTGATTACGCATGGGCGCCTCTTTTCGCCGCTCTCGACAAGACACATCAGAAACTCATCCCGAAGAAGACACTCCGCAAACTCTCAAAGTTCCAAGGCGAGCATACATTTACAGGAAGCGCTTACTATCCTCCTTTCGATACTGCATCGCGTAACATTACTACCTGGCTATCCGAGGATCTTACTATCGGCGCCGAGTCCTATGATGAGATTGTTATTGGCGGTCCATCTCAGTCTCAGGAGTCTTTCAACCCTGCAGTGGTGCAGTGGAATACTGGAAACGAGATCTCATTCATTTCTGTATGAGTCCCGAGTCTTATCGCAGATTACCCAAGGCTAACAAGGTCACAGTTATACCCAACCGAGATGGCTCTCCAGTCCCGCGTGAAACCCGGCAAGCTCAGTTTATCATACCCCTACGGCAACGCCAGTTCTGTCTTCACCTTTGTCGTCGGCACCTTTGAGAAGAAGCGTACTGTCGCTAGCTGGGCCGACATTCAAGGTCTGGAGGTAAAGGTTTCTGGCAACGTCAACTCGACATATGCCCTTTCTTTTGCTGGCGGCTACGGTGGATCTGACACTCTGATTCGGGATTTTGAATTCTGGAACTTCACGTACACGATGCCTTCCGACTTTCAGGGCGTGCCTTCTGTCGAGCTTGATTTCAAGCTCATTTAGACGCAGTCTGCAATAATGTCCCTTGATGAAGGGGCTTGTAAAGAAGACAATTAATATTAAATAGTTATTGAAAGATAAATATCACCTAGCTAAGACTTACTACTCTGCATCACCGTGCCAATCTGTTGAGTCGATTTGCTTTTGTGTATTAATCGGTGTTGGCTAAAGATTCGCTGAGCCTAGTTCAACAAACTCGAACTTACTGCATACACAAGCCGGCGTCCCATATATCATCTTTCCAAGTATCCTATCATGCTCCACCACGATCCCGATGCCATCCAGAACATTCTCATCGTAAAGCAGCCCAGGAATTCTATAAACCTGGGCCCTATCCGGGGTAGGCTCCCCCCACATAACCAGTCGGAACACAGACCGCCGCCCACAAATCTTACATCTGATCTGACTAATACCTTCCATTGGAGTTCCGTACTCTCGCAGGAACCAGTCTGCTTCTCCGGCTGCAAGTTCCAGACGTGACTCTCGTGCGTGCTTGCCTTCCTTGCTCAACTTCAAGACCCTTATGAGCTTCTTCGCAATCTCTAACCTCTGCTGAGTCGCGTCTTGCCCTGGTTTGATGTCTAGCAACGGCCCGTACTTTTCCAAAAGTCCCTGTATCTTATCAAGATCATACCTGGCGGTCGCGGTACAGACATCTCCAGGCTTTGCATCATTCCATTCCATGTTTAATGCTTTATGTTCGCTCCGAGGGAATATGCGTTCCATAGCCTCACATAAAGCTTGGGGTTCCTGGCCGCTAGCCCGGACAACCTTGGATAAAATATAGTCCACGACTGATTCCGCGTCCCCTCCGAAGTCGCAGTACTCAAATGTTTCAATGATACCAACCGTCTGGAGTTGGGGCTGGATCTTGCCGCCCCGAATGATTGGCTGAGACGTCGCTTTCCTATGACACCTGCCCATGTCCCAGAGCTTCCACGTTCCCGTCGAATACCCACGCAGCCACGGTGCTCGGGGGTCTATGTCTTCACCTGGTGACGGGATGAACAATAGAGGGGAGTAATCTCCCTGCTGTAGCGCAAATGTCGCCAGAGAAAAGAAGTATACAAAGCGGTTCTCGATGAGAACAAGAGGATCTTGTTTCGGTCGGAAGTCAAGCATCTTCCCTAGAGCCAAAAAGTAGTCTCTTGTATACTGACACTTCCGATGGCCCAGAATTCCGATTGCCCACCCGAGAGTTCGGTGCATTTCGTGCTCATTCTTCCATGCTTCCATGTCTATCCATGAAGTCATCCGTTTTAGGGTCGTATTCTGCTTCCAAATGTCCTCTGTGACAATCGAATTGCTTCTTTTCTTGACCCATTTCGTGTGCGCAGTGTCTAGTTGATGGCATACATCCCTAGCATAAGTATCAGATAACGTGTAGTCCTCCGTGAGAACAAGGACGTCATTACTCTGGATGTACTCTAGTGTCACCCACATGCGGTCAAACCACCGAGACCGAATAATAGCCGCCAAGTCGACAATAAACTTATCGTAGGGAGAGTCCTTGACCTGGCCCGAGAGATGGGTTGCCCTGACGTCGTCCAGATGGATTACTGTTTTCGCAGCATGGTTATATATCTCTGGTATCAGAAGAAGGAGCCGTTCCTGAACCTCGGGCCGCCATTGTGGAACGCTCAAGTAGTCATGCCAGACTTCGCAACCTGGAAACTTGGCTTCAAGCGCCAGGAGGGTTCTGGATGGAATTTGGTAAACCAGCCTGGAAACTTCGATGCTCTCTAGACGAAGGTCCTGCGCAGTGGCCACCGCGGGGTGCCAGGCATGTGAAATGGGGATATAGTTGATCTTTTTAGCCTTTATGCAGGACAGGTGTCTGTTGAAGATTCTCAGATTCCACGGTGATACTGGCTCCTGAGTGATATCAATGACAGATAATTGTTGGTTGCTGTTCCCGGCGGCTATGGTTCGTATTGGAGGTTCGCCATCCGGAAGGAATTGTCTTCCGCATGACACGCAATCAGAATCAAGGCCGGTGCCCCATACGTATGATAAGAATGAAGACTGTGGGGTCTGTCGCAATTCGCTGTCGACATGGAATGACACACTAGGCTCCGGTGATACGGCTAGTGAGGCAGTGCTGTTGTCGCGTTTCCTCTTGAGATCTGAAGTACTTGACACAATACTGAGAGAAGTTGGGCCACTGGCAATGCCATCGGCAAGGTTCTCGCTCATGTCAAATGCATTGAGTATGATTCAAAGAAAGGGCTTAATTGGGCTAGCTGCTGGGCGGGCTAAGCCAATAAGGCGGCTTGGCACGGGAAAGCGTCCGGCCGACGTAAAATTCCAACTAAGGCCAGTTTATCACAGGCCTACTCAAGCCTAATGAGACGATAGGACAATGGCGATGGCGCTGAGGGGAGCATGATAACGAGGTACCGTGTAGTAAGAGACGAAGACGAGCCAGCTGAAGTCAGATTAATTTGGTGGCTGGCTTGAGATAAGGAAAATCGCGCTAAGATAAGCATAACTAATCAGGTCACGTCTCACGCCAATCTCATAGTTATGCAGGGCGAAGCAAAAGAGCATCATTAAGTCAACCAATGTGCTTTTCAACAGCAGTTCAAAAGCAATGTAATTCCTTCAAGTAAAATGGTTTCTAAAATTTCCAAAGGCCAACTACGCTGCTAGCTTGACTATTCCCCTGATGTCCAAATCTCAAATTCAGATAGCCCCCATCCAACACCTGACCCAGCATTAGGTGCCTCAACACGCAGTCGAGAAGTCAATATGGAAGGGAAGACGATCTTGGTCTCGGCATTTGAGCTGGTTGGTATCGGAGTACGAGCCTGGTCGGGAACTTCTACCCAAGCATTACCTGTCCAGTACTGAAGGTCGTAACTGGTAGGGATCCGAACACCATCAGAGTCATCGTAGAAGAAGAGCCGCACATTATCGACAGCTTGATCCTTGCGTAAGTCGACTCCGAAATAATCTGTCGAATTTGGACTATTGTACGAAGTCCATCGGCTGTTTTGTGGAATTCCTGTCCGGAAGATCATTCCGTTGATGGCCCCCATAGGATCATCCGCTGGAGACGTGTATGAAGCAAAAGCGAGGGGAAGTCGAGGATCTCGCTGGCCATTTGCTACGATGTTTGCTTGGGAGGAAACTGGTGTTGGGACAGATGGACCGACATCGACCTTTATAAGACCGATTGTTTCGCGACTCCCAGCAAGCTGACCATCAACGTAAACTTTCAAGCCTTGGCCTCGGTCATAGACTGAACCTGTTCTGTCCCATAAGACAGTTATAGAGTGGCCATGGTACTCCACGTTCTCAACTGCAAAATAGTCCCAGTTTAAAGGGGCCAAAGGATTGACAACCACTGTTTCACCAGACTGGCCTCGAATCCCGATTAGGCCAGCTAAAACATTATCAACAAAGGTCGAGTGGTTATAATCTTCGCTGTGATTGTAGCCATCATACATCCATTTGTCTTCATCAGGATGATGAGCTTCAGCCACATAAGGTTGCCCGTTCTTGTATTGTGTTCGAGCGTATCGATGCAGCATCTCGTAATAGTCCTTGGTAGTGATGTATTTCTGCGCTGGATAATCGTGGAGAACATTCTCAACCGCAGTTAGAGTCTGCGATGTCGCAAACGGCCATGAAGGGCCATCCCATCGGCAGCAATTCTCTGCCTCATACATGAACCACTTACTTCTTCGCTCAGCTGTAGTTGGGCCAAAGTCCGATAAGAATCCTTGGGGATCTTTGAGCTGGGAGAAGGCGGCGAGTTGGGACTCATCGCACGGTATCTCAAACATCCAGGGAAGATAGCCCATGATTTCTCTAGTACCCAGCAAGGAGCCGGAGGGGTTGTCGTCACGGGCCTGGTGTTTGTAGAATTTGCTCTCACTATCCCACAAATGCTTTTGTACGGCCATTTGCAGACTTTCTGCCCGGCTTCGGTATTCATTTTCAAGATCAGAGTCTCCAGCCAAAGCAGCAATTTTGGCTATAGCAATGGCATCTCCATACTGATAAGAATTGATCGTTGGCCGGAAGCCAGCACCTCCATGATAGGGGTCACTAGACTCGTAAGAAGCAGCTGTGTACTCCGTAGCATCCCAAACAGGCACCTGCCAATACAGGCCTAGAGAGCTGGAATAATGGTTATCCGAGCCTCGATACTGCTTCACCAGATTTGCAAGCTGTCCAACTACAAAGTCTTTATCTCCCGTGACCAAGTATTGTTTCCACAATGCAGTGGCAGCCCAGAAGCTGTACTCGTGCGCCCAGTCAGAGGTATCTTTGTTGACCTCGTCTCTCATTGGTTTGGGGAACTGGCCTGGTCCAGCGAGCCAATACTTTGCGATATCCTGACCATATCTCGTATCACGTATCCACCGACCTTCGGTGATATGATGACCTGCAGCAGCCACGATACCGCCATACGGTGCGCCATAGCTGACGGGGTTCAAGAACTCACTGGCTATGTAACCATACTCTGTTCCAGTGTAGACAAGGTGTTCTTTGTAGGTCTGCCAGCGGTAGTAGTATACCTCCTGGATTTGTTTATCGGGTATGTCCAGTAGAGGGATGTTCTTCTCGAACCATGGCTGGTCTTCTAGACCTTTTAGAAGCAGATCCCGATCGAGTATATCTGTCCCTCTATCGGACGATGACATGACGTGTAGGAATCCAAAGTGGAAGCCTGAGTACAGCAGTCCTCTGAGTAAATCTCGGGCGATGCAGAATAGCATGGAGTTTTAGGAAATCCATTCGATGGTAGTAGAGTTACGCTCTAAAGCTACAGCTGATGTTGACGTCACAAGCTTCAGTGCTTATTTTATAGTGGAAACGCCACATACCAGTACGAGGGTTCTGTGATTCAGCGTGGCATACTGCAACAGACTTAATCTCATTCATGGAGCAAGGCACGAGCGGTTATTCTCTACCCCTTCTAGAACACCCAATCTATAACGCATCTCATAATACAACATCTCTGATTCAGTATAAAGTCAAGTAACGTAACTCGCGTGGTTCTTAGGGCTGCTCGCTAGTATCTGTGGCGCTCGACCATTGAATCACTAGCTATTACAAGCTTAGTTGGCATTCCAATGTCTTCTAGCAGCAACACATTGAGAGGTAACGGTCAGATGATGAGCTACACCTTTCCTTTTTTGAGTGGAAGGAGGGGTTCCTTACTACTTGCGTCACGATGCTTTCTCTCAGCCACCAGACAGTTTCCACCCAAGACTGAGGGCCCAGGGCCTAGAGGACATCAGAAGATGAAGCTCCCAGACTTGTATAAGCGCTAAGTGCCAAAAGGGTTAACGTCTTAGCTAACCCTAAGCTCCAGCAAGCCATCGTCCAATCATAGAACGTGCTAAAGCTGTGCTTTTCGAACCAGAGCGAATGCGAGCTCGGCCACCCCATGCGCCACGTTGCTATTGTTGGACACGCATGCTAGCCATAGCTCGTGTCGAATCTGTCTCTTGCGCAAAGCTTAGATCGCTCAACCCCGTAGCTTCATTAATGACGTTGCCAATTGACTTCCACGCGCAATCCGTAATGGAGCTATGGATACGACTGACAATAATGGAGTATGTTGCGTGAAACGTAACAGTCGTTTGTTGGAGTATTCGATCTTTTCGATCAGATGAAGCAAAGTAAGTTGACGTTGATAACCATTATATAACTCGGAGTCCCATTCGTGAAACCGAAGACATCACCAACAACCCATCAATTCCTCAATAGCTTTCACAGCCATGTCTCCTCAACTCGAGACAGTTCTTTCGCTCAATGATTCAATGTCTGATCTTTCTTTACAGAGAGTGTCACACTGCGATACGAACGCCCAAGAATCTTTGGGTGGGAAAATAGAGAATGTGTCGATTACTCTACCTCCAGTCACGCTGCCAGATCAAAAGGGCTCAGAAATGACACGCGACCTTCGATGTAAGTGCTCTGGCTCGCCATCTGTCAAGCACCCATACTAATTCTCGTCAGACAAACACGCTTCGACTTACCGAAGAATCTTCGCATTCATCTTCATCACCAACTTGGCTGTGTTTATTGCCCTTCTAGTCACCTCTAAAGCCAGTATCTTATCAAGAGATGCCGCCAGCGCAGCTTCTGCAAATCTCATGGTGTGCATCCTGTTTCGACAAGAAGAATTCGTGAACCTTTGTTACGAAATCGTCGTGCTGGCTCCTCATTCGTGGCCGCTCTCTATTCGGAAACGACTAGCCAAGGTCTTTCACTACGGAGGTTTCCATAGTGGCGCCGGAGTAGCTGCTACTGCTTGGTACATGGCCTATACCATCCTTGCCACTCAAGAATGGGCTGCGGACAGACAAGAGTACAGACTTGTCAACATGATAACCGGTTGGATTGTTGTTGCAATGTTCCTCATCATTCTCGTCGCGGCTTATCCCAGCATTCGAAGAAAGTTCCACGATCATTTCGAAGCTTTCCATCGATTCGCCGGCTGGGTATCTTTACTCGCGTTTTGGGTACATAACATTGTGTCAGCTCGTGTTACGGCACATGAGTGGGACGAGTCAATTGGTTATGCTCTTGTACGATCTCCCAACTTCTGGTGTATCTGTGTTACGACCTCATGCACGATCGCATCATGGTCCCGACTGCGCCGCCGGGTTGTGTACCCCGAGAAGCTGAGCGATCACGCCACTCGTCTTCACTTCAAGTACCGAGGAATGAAACCCTTCTACGGTCTGAAGATCAGCGACAAGCCCATGACAGAGTGGCACGCGTTTGCTACCATTCCCGATATCGAGCCGGAGTCTGGCAAGGTTGAAGGCTTCAGTGTTGTCGTTTCCAATGCTGGAGATTTCACCAAGAAGCAGATCATGAATGACAGTGAGCGCAAGGTCTGGGTTCGCGGTGCCCCTCTTCACGGGCTTCTTTACACATCAAAGCTCTTTCGTCGAATCGTCATTGTCGCTACTGGATCTGGTATCGGGCCTTGCCTTTCCCTTCTCCACGCCGATGAGACCCCTCGCCGTGTCCTCTGGTCTACTCGTGATCCTGAGAAGACATACGGACCAACAGTTGTCGGTGCAGTTCAACGAGCTGATCCAAATGCAGTCATTTGGAACACTACTGAGCGAGGTTATCCGGATATTGTCCGTGAGACTTACCAACTTGTGGTGGAGTCTGATGCAGAGGCAGTGTATATCATCTCGAACCCCAAGGTCACTGAAAAGGTTGTTTTTGGTATGCAAACACGTGGTGTCCCAGCATATGGAGCCATCTTTGACTCTTAGAAGTTTAGATAGCGGGAATCAGGGTGCTTTTGTTTAAGTTTTAGAAAATCGGTGGCTTTTGCATAGACTATAGATTATAAAAGACCCGAGGCCAAAATACATTCAACGATTACTAGAGCAACAATTACATAGCGTGAGCAAGTCTCCCAAAACTCAACACCTGACTCTTCTAGTCCAAAGACAGAGACTGGTAAATCTCAAACGACAGGTATCAAAGGGTCGGCCCCTGGTCTAAGAAGTGATCCCACAATCATATCTTCTTCCCCATATACTAATACATTCAGATATTGTTTCTGGTGGCATTAAATGGGCTCTTCCCTGCGGGTATAAAAACATCTTTTCAGCATCAATCTAGTAGTAGCGGTACCTAGATACTTATAGATCCAGACTGAACATAACTGATACGCCAACTCCGGTGTCGCCGAGAGCAACGAGACTCAAACGCCTGATATAACCCTATCCACTTTGCCTTTTATAATTCATTTCTTTGGCTTCCTTCCCCAGACGACATAAAGAGGCATATAGGCATGAATGCGCGGGTTCACGAGATCTCGCCGAACATCAATTAGAGACACCTATAAGCGAGTTAGCAGCTGAAAGCATCGTCTGGAACATCAGTATAGCATGTTGGGCTATATGCAGCCTAGCGTACCTCAATCTGAGCACTGGTCCGCTCAAAGGCCTTATTCAAGAGCTGATAAGAGAACCCAGATAGTCCATCGAGCATGTGATCAGCCCACATCCACCCTACCTGCTTGAGCCGTGAGTCCTTGGCCCAGCCGTTGATAGGCATCTTGATGATGCGTTGGTGGACATCCACAAAGCCAACCCGCTCGTAGATCTCTTTGAGCTTTTCGCCAAAGATGGCCGGACGCTCTAGCTTATCCGCCGCCGCTATCAAGTCATTGCACCATGTCGCAACCGGGCCTTGAGGATCAAGTGTGTCGTCGTCGCACAGGGGAATGCAGTCCGTCTCTTGCGACTCAAACCAGCCGCCGGGCTCAAGCGCATTGAAGGCTTGCTGGGCTATCTGCGTCTCAAAGTCGGACCAGCATCCAGAAGTGCTACGAGTGTGAATATAGTCGAATTTGTGATTGAACATCCACTCGTCGCTTCTATTATACCTTGGTCAGAATGATTGGTCGGATAGGTCGGATGGGTCGGATGTTGCGGAAAGAGACTTACGAGTCCTCGACGTAGAAGTAGACATTTGGAGGCACGTCGTTTGGTTGAATGGGAGACAGGTCTGTGCCGATAATTGTAGCGTTGGGGAAGATATCACCCATCTGAATAGCCCAGTCGCCTATCCCTGTGGCGATATCGAGAATATTCTTTGGTGGCCTTCTAGTAGAGAGCGGTGCCAGGTACAGCTTGCCTTTCATAATCATCTTATAGCACTCGCCCATAATTCCGAGTCTCTCTTGCTCTGTATTGTCATTAGGGAACAGATATGCTATATGGGAGTGAATGGTCAGTCAAATGTTGTGAAACTGCAAAGTAATCTGTGTTGCTTACATCCAGCACGATAAGCATGATAGGTGCGACCAAACTCTTCGGGAAACGTCTGCACACTATCCGTCAACGAAGCCGAATCGTCCCAATCCTCGACCTGGATGAAACTCGACGTCGCTGATGAGGCATGTTCTGCTGAAGAGGCCGATCTGGCCGCAGACTGAGCCTGAGACTGAGATGAGAGAAAAACACACCAAGTCAGCTCGCTGCAACGTGCTCTTGACAGGGGACAAGTTCAGCCTACATTAGCTCCCAAGGGAAGACCGTCTGTCGCCCTCAAGTCAGTCGTCGAGGGGCAGTTGAAAGTGAATTCCCCACTTCGGGCATTGACCTCGTTTCCACCGCGGGCATCTCGGTCTTGGCCCTCCAACGGCTGCTGGCTCTGTTGGTCCACCATCGAGTCCATGTATCGACACGACGACGTGGTCGTGTATATGTTGGTTGGCTTGGTTTGATATGGGAAGAAATTTGATCATAATGCGGCTCAGGCCCTTTGAGCAAATCGTGGTGGTTGGCGAAGAGACTAGTGGCTGACTGGAAATTAATTCCTCCTTTTCCGATGTTAGCGTCAATATTTCTGCAAACAGCCATTTCGCGCAGCTACAAGAGCAGCTCAGTCTTGAATGAGATTAGCTCTTGTGAAAAAGCATTTCTTACGAAAAGTAAATGCTGCAACTAGTTAGTATACAGAGTTTCTATGTCAGGATAAGTAAAACTGCCAGATTAAACTCTCACTAAGAGATATAGTCGGAGTCCTCTATACATTAAACTGCTACCCAAATGTCTGGCATGTTATTCGTCCCGCTTGGCCGGGAATTCTACCGGTTCCGTGGCTCTGGTAATGTCTTGTCACACTTGGTCCATGTCCCTGGTACTTGAGACGAACACGTCACGCAAAAATGAGAGGGGGGACCCGACGGCCTCGGATTGGCCCGGCTTCGACGGAGCATGGACCATCCTCTTTGAGACCTGTTCGTGAGGCCTGATGTGGATGCATGCTTCGGCTGTTACCGTACCCTCAAGGATGCTTATGCACTTCACAACCAACACGTTCAGAAAATGGCGCAAACCGTTCCTTACACATGATAGAGCACCTGACCTGTTGATCAAAGCAAGTCCGAGATCACCAATTGCAAAAACGGTGGAATGGCGGATCATAAACGATGCTCAGTACTAACAGCCCCCGCTTCGCTTCAGGGTAGTCAAGTTGCTTGATCAGAGTGGCAATCTAACGTCGCCGCTATAGCTTTAGATATGGTTCCCTCGCCAGTAACTCCCGCTTACTGATGACCGGTCATATCACAAGTGTTCTAGGTACGCTAAGAAAATGATCTAGACATGCGTGACAGCGTGGCCCGCTACGCTTCTGGCGGCAACCGGGCAAACCTCCCACATATGGCTCAACGTGCGCTCCATCCTGGCTTCGCTTGTACCAAAGGTCCATACGCGATCACCAACGGACAGCCAGTAGCGGCATTTATTCCTTGCAAACTTAGCAATACAACATAACAGAAGGGAGCCGATTATAGTCTCTTTGATACGTGTCATTTCAATGATATATGTCGTGGAATATGATATGATTCCAAACACCGAGGGCCGGGAATATCACCAGAATAAAAGAGGGTTTAGCTGGCCGAGCTATCTAGGCCAGATAAAGGAATTCCTGTCCGTGCCCGTGTCCTAAAACTCATCGTTCTCAGCCACTATTCTCTACTTTGCTTTTCAGTTCAGATCGACTATCCGTTTGCAGTCCACTTCACACTTAATTATACCTTCCGCTATGGCATCTTCCGACGATCAGTGTGAGGTACCCGAGCTGCTTACCCGCTTTACTAGCTGGAAGCATCCTCAGACGGCCCACATATTCCAGTACTCCAGACAGAGCTGTGACCGCTCACTCAAGGAAGTCTCTCAAAATGAAGTTATCTCGCGCAATGGCGAATTTGCCGCATGCGGAGGTCTCTACGGAAGCTGGGTCTACCCCGGTGGCGACGCTGAGAGGATCAAAGTCGTTGCCGACTTTTATTCAGCCTGGGTCTTTCTAGATGATCTTATCGACAATAGCATTGACATGAAGTATACATGCGATGTGCTTGACGACATCAAGGCCCGGGTGACAGGTCCTCTCAAGGGAGATGAAGGCCTCGACCATTTGTTCAGGCTTTGGAGCCACGAGGGCTGGAACAGCGAACTCCTCCAGCTCGCAAAGGCTGAAATAGATCTCTGGCTCCATTGTACCCAGGCTCTTCGCAAGATTGAAGTGGAACAAGAACCGGTCTCCGTGGAGGAATACTTGACCTACAGGCAAACCAACGCCGCCATGGGTCTCATGTTCCTCATCATGCCATTCACGAGACCTGATCTTGCCGACGACCTCCTTCGGCTGCGCAAATGGTCGCCGGATACCCTCAAGAACATTTTCAGCTACAGCGGCCGAAATATGGGCGTCATTCTCGACCTCTACAAGCTCAATGCCCACCATGCGCAGATCACGGAATACAGCCACATCGCTGCAATTGTCCAACAGAACTCCGACATCCGCATGGACTTCCAGCAAGCTGTTGACGCCTCGGCTGAGATCTTCCATGAGTATGAGGACAAGCTTGCCGTCGAGTTTGCCAACGTCGCTACCTTGAGCCCTCGACTCGCCAAAGCGTTAGAGGATGTTCACGCCGGTAGCATTGCTTGGCTCAACCTAATGCGCGGTCGCAGATACGTCAAGAAGACCCAGTCACGACGTCGCGGCTATGGCGCAATCATCGCTGCGATCATCATCTGTGGGCTCCTCCTGGCTGTTGTTCTTATTATGTGGCTATGGCCTTCTTTGTGGTTCCATTATGTTCCGGTTGGAGGCAGACAGATCTTTGCGGAGATGTAATCCAGAACACGGAATTGGGATAGTATGGTGGGGGAGATTTCATTTTTACTTTCATTTTATTTCACGACATTTAACGACATTTAACGACATTGGGCGGCTAGCGTAACTGAATTAGTTTACTGAAGTTTGCATTAAATATCACATGTTCATACCGAGGTCGATCAAATCTACAGGGGTGAAAACGTGACATGTCAAGTGCTTCTTCTGAGACCCCAAGATAAAATAGTCACAGCAGTCATTTGCAATTATCACCAATTGACCAGGTAACATATAAAAAAAAGTACAATTTTAAAGACAAGCAAAAATCACAAAAATTAAGGAAAATTTGCGTCGCTTGGTCATTACGATTCTATATGCGATGATGGATCTCTATGGCCGATCTGACTTACCGAATAGCTTTGAGTACTGCCCAAAACGGCTGCTTGTCCCACAGCATGTACGCTTTTTGTTTAGTAGTCCAGCCTCTGCTTTCCGGCACCGATTCAATGTCAAAATTGTAGACGAGGCGCGCCAATGCCAGGCGTGTTTCAGCCCAGGCGAGACTATAAAATCATCAGCTCCACGATCGGTTGATGAGATAAGTAGGGGCACTTACTTGCGACCAGGGCAATTTCCGTGACCCAAACCAAATGGCTGGAACGCGTCAAAACGGTCTTCAGAGAATTCGGGGTCCTTCATAAAACGCTCAGGATGATATTCGAGAGCCTTTTTGAAGTTTCGCTCAGAGTGGTTGGTGGCCCACGAAGCAACAGCGACAACCGTCTAACTCGATCAGCTTTCATGGTTTACTTGTAGACATTCTTGACTCACATTCTCTGGCACAGCATGGCCAGCGATAACTGCACCGCCATGGGGGACGACTCTTGGCAACGCAGGCGGGACAGCGGGAAAACATCGCAGGGCCTCGTTCAAGCAGGCAGCGAGGTAGGGCAGTTGGTTGACAGACACTATTGTGATATCTTCCTCGTTCTTGAAGGTTGATCGAACTTCCTCAGATAGTTTCTGGAGTTTGGCTGGATTGTCAGTCAGCAGAGAAACTGCTGCCACCAATAGAGTGACAGAGCTCTCAGAGCCTGCTGTGATCAGAATCGTGGCATTCTCCATAAGCTGAGCAAATGTCTTCAATGGCATTCTCGTTAGTGCACCGATTGTAAAATGACAAGAAAGGTGAAAGACATACCAGAGGCGGTTTTCGGTCAAGAAGGGGTTGGAAGATATCCAGTCTTGGCTTTTCCACCTTGATGCGAGCCTCGACCTTCTCCCTTGTGAGATGTTCATGCAGTATCTTCCCCCTCAGAAGGGAGCTGCCTGACAAAACATGGACAATTCGTTGAAGCCCCAGGTACATCAATACCTGCATAATGGCAAACTCCCTAACATTCTGACTCACAGCTTTGACCCATGGATGGTATTGCTCAGATTCAAGGCCCCCAAAGTCGGATCCAAAGCCAAGATTTCCGATGATATCGAAAGTGTAGTGGTTAAACCACTCGCGCAGATTGACAGGCTTTCCGTCCTTTGAAGCCTCAGTCAATTTGCGGATGAGTGTATCCGTATATCCTTGGATAATGGGCTCCTGGAACTGCAGCGATCGTTCTGAGAATGCTGGCGAGAGCTGCCGCTTCATAGAATCATGATACGGCCTATCTAAAGAGACAAAGGTCTCTGGAGCGCTGGGACCAGCCCATTGATAGAATCTGTCATATCTGGCGAAGTCACCAAGCCGAGCTGAGCCTCCATGAGCGACATAGATGTCTCTCCATGCCTCTGGGTCAATGAAAGACAGCTCGTTGGGTCGGATGCGCACAACAGGGCCATATTGCTTGTGAAGACGTTCAGTCTCGAACAAAAGCTCTCCACGCAAGAACTTGTAGTGGCGATACAATGGGGAAGCCCGACAGAGAAGCGGACCAGGAAAGTTACGCAGCGGGTGCAGGAAGATGTTATACACCACGTATCCAATACAGAGGACTGTCGTCTAGGCGATAATTAGCTTAGAACGCAGAGGAAAAGCCGTGGTGTCTGAGACATACAGCAGCGACGCCTCCAGCTAGGATCGAGACACTAAGCATGGTGGCTACAATGAAGCAATGCTTTTACTGGCGATAGCATGAGAACGAGAACAGTAGATCATCCAGCTAACCGATCTTGGTGAGGTTTTATTGAACTGCAATCGGAACTCATGGAAGGCAATATAATCCCCGCTTCCCCATTGCATGCCTAGCGCGTTTTTAACGTTGTCAACATCATTTTCTGAGATTCTCTTATCATTTATGACTAGACAAGGATTCACTCTCCAAAGACTGATCTTACGAACTCAACAGCCGATGTGTGCATTTACAAATACGTGGCTCGCTATTAGAGGCTGGGGGGGTTTTGGTGTGAGTGGGTATGCAAGGGAGGACCAACATGCATAATAAACAGGATATGGAAAAGCTTAGAACTAAGACTTCGAGTAGTCTCCACTTCCCGTAAGAAACCCAATAAACCAGCAAGGGTAAAAAGAATCGGAAATAAGTTCTCTTTTGGGACAAAACTGTATCCAAGTTAAATTGACCACGGACACTGTAGAAATAGCAGTCTGATATAAAGGGCCTATGTACAGTATCTAGCTGCTGTATTTCCACTAAACCTTAGCGGCGGTTAATGGTGTTCAAGGTGGAAGTATACGAGGGCTTCTTCTGGAAGTTGTCGTTCCAAAGGAGAGCAGATCCCTCACCGGGGAAAGTTCCGGGGACCCAAGAGTACTTATCAGAGATACCCTGCAAGCTATTAGTACGAAATAAATCAAGCATGTGAAGCGAGAAACATACCCAAACGGTGATACCAACGCATCGCTTAACATCCATGCAAGAGCCAACGATTCTGGCATATGCATCGGCATTGGTCTGGAGCTTCTGCTGGGTAGCAGGAGTGTTCATGCGAATGTCGAGCTCAGTGTAGGCAACGTCGACGCCCAGATCAGCGAGGCCCTGGAGGACGGAAGCCAGCTTGGCTCGCGAGGGGGTAGGGGTGTTTTGGGTAGGAGTGCTCTCGCTGGTCATGTGAGCCTGCAGACCGATGCCGTCGATGCGGAGACCGTAGGACTTGACGAGTCTGGCGATGCGCTTGGCTCCCTCGGTCTTGGCGTTGCCGTACTCGAGGTTGTAGTCGTTGTAGTAGAGCTTGGTGGTGGGGTCTGCTGCCAGGGCCATGCGGAAGGCGATGGGGATGTAGGCCTCGCCAATGACGCGGAGGAAGACGCTGTCACGGTAAGTTCCATCCTCGTTGAGAGCTAAATGATTGGTTAGCCTTTTCGAAGTGTCTAAGAGCCTCATCACGTGAGTCTAACTTACCCTCGTTGACAACATCCCAGTGAGTGCACTTTCCACGGTAACGTCCCATGACGGCGTTGATGTGATCTCTCATCACAGCCTGTAGAGTCTGGTTGTTCCAGTTGCCGTTGGCAACCCATCCTGGGAGCTGGCTGTGCCAAACAAGAGTATGGCAGCGCAGCTCGTAGCCTCGTGAGGTAGCGGCAGCAGCGTGCTGGTCAGCGGGACCCCAGTTGAACTGGCCGCGGTTGGGCTGGATGGCCTCCCACTTCATGGCGTTCTCGGGGGTGATGGAGCCAATCTCATTCCTGTTGTTGATGACGTTGGTCTCTGCCTGGTCATTGCGCACGGTGAGAGCAGTACCGAAGTACTGCTTGCCAGCGGCCTTCATGGCAGCGTGGAGGCCAGTGGCCTGTCGTGCTTCAACATCACTGTTGTATGTGAGCGATGGTATTGTCATTCTCAAAGTATATGACTTACGGAACGGGGTTAGCAACGGCGAAGCCATTGAAAGCGGCCAAGGCCACTGTGGGGATGAGACTGAAACGCATCTTTGCAGCTGATGATAGTGAATGAAGAACGAGACTAAGACTTGTCTGCGATGAGCCAGAACATCTCTCTAGATCCAGCGATTCATTTCATATTATATATCAAAACTGTTCATGATGTCAATTACCTAATGTTTCCCGGCTAAATCGACGTCTTGGTCGTTTCACCTCTCGCGGCACTTTCATCCTAGATGGCTAAAACCAGGTCCGGGGTTATTAGCCGGCTCGGCATAGCCAAATCAGCAGACAGAAAACGTGTTTCTGTGCAAGCATATGCTATTTGTTTGTTCCTTGCATGAATACGGTAGATTAAAAGAATTAGACCAAGTTTGATGTCAGCCAAGACCTAGGAAACGCGTGCAAGATTTGATATATGCTCCAGTACAGGTCAAATTCGTGCAAAGCAACAAGCTTGTAATTCGACAACTAGTCTACCTGTATTATAGAAGAGAGATTGCACTACTTAAATAACTTCAGTCTCATTAGCATCCATCAGTGTATTGCCTTTCCCCGGATAATGGCCTCGATTCAACTCCATGAGAGCCGAGGCTAGCTGAACCAAGAGCCATGAATTCTAGATGCCAAGTGACCCTTCAATTACAGGCTAATAACAACATCCTTGACTCCCCACAACAGACCAGATCATGTCCGGGGTATGATCATGAGACTTTGAAGCTTAATTGTTATTGATGCGGTATTCGGATCGCGCCTGGGGATGAATACGACGATCGACGCGGAGCGTGAGCCTCCGACTACCGAATTCGTGTTTGGTGAGTGTGGGGAAATCTACCGTGAATAACCGGCTGAACGGCTAGCGTTGGCAGCATGGCCAATTAGGCTGTCGGTTGCTATTATGTCAGCCTCTTTCGTTGAGCGGTGAGCGCGTCGACGCGTGGAAGAACGCGTTAGGTACAGGGTATGACGACAATAATTGTGTTAGAACAGCTGTGCTTTATGTGAATAAATAACTAATCCAGATATTGACAGGAAAAACAAAATAAAACTACATTAAAGACATTTACATAGAACCGAATCCTTAATCAACCCTCTCGTGCTGAGACTTTGGAAAGCTCAGTAAGAAAATGATCCACCAAATCAGCAACCTCGGTAAATTCTCCGTCAAACAGTGATTTATCGCCACTCGCAGACACAGTGACATCACCACTTTCGCTAACAATAACATTGAAGAAGAAATGGTAATCAGGCAGATGAGTAATGCCAAGACCGTCAATGGCAGAGACCGTAGATGACGGCTCTGTAGCTGTGAAGTAGTCAGCAGCGAGTGGCTCAGGGAGCCTATACCTCTGCAAAGCCTTCGGCCTGTCTGTGGAATCCCCGTTCTGAGAAGGCACATGATCGCGTCGGTGGATGATGTTCAAGTGCGAATTGAACTTGGGACCCAGCTTCCGAACACCATCTGCCTGACTGAAGCAATTGAGCTGCGCGAGATGGTCCTGGATGAAGCTGAGTAGCTGTTCTGTCGACGACTCCAAGTCAATAGAGAATGGCGTTACAGAAAGAGTTGGGATGCTCGCAGCAGTCAGATCTAGGGTCTGCGTCCCATCAGGTGATGAAAGAGATCGAGAAGCATGGTTGAGACCAAAAGTAGGCTTGGTTCGCTGGGTGAAGTGCTGGAGGGTCCTTGCGTAGGACAGAATGAGAGCTCCAGAGACCTCTGAGCTACTCTTCTGCAACAGCGACCTGATGCTATTCTGAGTGGTGGTGTTGGAGCTCGTCTTGAACTGAGGGCCATGCGCTGATGGAACAGTATGCTGAGCGCTATAACCCAATACTGTCTCTTGAGCACCGGAAAGATGTCGCCTCCAGTATGCTTCCTCGGCGCCAGGTTGTCTGATTGCTCTGATACTCTGGACAACTTGCTCCAGTGATTGACGCGGCTGTAGGATCTTGCCCCCGCCGAGAAGATCGTTGAGGTTCTGCTCGATCGTCTTGATACTCCATGCGTCATAAAGTGCATGATGGAGTCTCAAGACAACCGCTTTACCGTCTGCAGCTTCCAAGAAAGAGAAGTGGATTGGAGGCTCCTTCAGGTCAGATGCCTTGGCATTTTCCTGACTCACATGGCCCGCGATCAACTCCTCCACAATCTTGGATGAGTCTTGCAGCGCTATGAAGCGCGATGCGGCTGACCAGTCCTCTGACAGGGTGACTTGGTACAGCTCCGCGGAGGTCGTTCCAGTTGCAAAGGTAGTTCGGAGGATATCGTGGGCTTTGACAAGCTCAGACCAACAGGTCGCCAGCTGTTCCTGTTCGAAAGCCTCGGGCAGTCTGTAAACCCACGGGGCTTCAAAGAATCTCTTCCCATTGTGCAACCAAAGCTCAAGGTGGGAGCGCTGACCGTGTAAAGCAGGGACGATAGACTTGATAAGATGTTCCGGATGTCCAAGGGTCTTAGCTATCGCCGACTTGAAGCCTTCTTGAAGAGGCTCCGGTTGTTGCCGGGCGCCATTTCTTATTGGTTTGCGCGAAGATGCTGGGCGGGTGATGATGTCGCGAACGCTGGCACCCTTCATGATCTCAAAGACACTGACACTAAGTCCAAGTTGCTGTTTCAGAAGCTTTGATAGTCGAATGGCCAATATCGAGTCCAGGCCAACACTGATGAGTCTCGTGCTGTAACCAATCTTCTTCCCACCTCGCCTTGTACCGACAACCGTCTCGACAAGCTTCAATGCTGCATCGGCTGTTGGAGTCGAGCCATTCATATCAGGCTCCGTTGCATCGATCTTTGACTCTTGAGGTGGCGTGTTGCTGACTGCGTTGAGGGACTTGGTGTCAACGATAGGCACGTCTCGTTCATGAAGAACGTGGTCCAAGGCTGCATTCAGGCTCTTGCCCAGTGAATCAACCCGCCCCTGGGGCAACTTGGCCCTCAGCTTACCATTGAGGACATTGTCCCTGATATGGAAGCTCACGATTAGAGGGTAGTCATCATAGGCTGGCCCAGTCGCGTCACTAGCTTCAGCCTGCACGGACTTGAACAGCTTCTTCGAGTCATCGCTGGCGTTTGAAGACCCAAGAACGCCGTCAAACACGAACAGACTCTGGAAAAGAGCTGCTGGTGCATCTGCCTTATCATGCCCTGATCTCCAGAGCGTCTGGATCTTCCTCAGTGAAGCCATTGAATTGGTGCCTCTTGCACTGTCAATCTGCTTCTGCACAAGTGCTAAGGCCTGCGAGACACTGATGCAGCCGTCGGGATCACCAAGTTGTACTCTCATGGGCAAGGTGTTGATGACGGGGCCAACGATGGCAACATCATCATCAGCATCCGTCGAAACAACCTCTCCATAAACAACGTCAGCTTGTCTGTAAAGGGACTCGCACAAGACCTTGATCCAGGATAATTGAAGTGCTGCTTTGATGGTCACGCCGACATCTTGGCATTTAGACTGGAGCAGCGAAAGTTTGCTCGTGTCCAAGCTGAAATGCACAGCAGATGATGCTTTGAGATCATCGCTGGGGAAGTCGAGGGGTGTGTACGTGTAGTCGCGAACGGAATCTGTCCAATAGGCAATTGAGGCCCGCTGTGAAGAGGCGACAGTCCTTGCAAACGGCCTGTAAAGATGCTTCGGCTCGTCAACACCATCACCATCAGTGGGGTCATTGCTGAGGCGTCGACGGTAGTACTCTTGGAGAATACTCCAGACTGACTGGATAGATGTTGCATCATAGAGGGCATGATGGATTCGCAAGTGAACTCGACCAGGCACTGTTGGTTGAACCTCCCAGCTAACCCGGTCACTCTGCTCAGTGGGAGATACGATACCAACCCACGGCGACTCATCATCATCAGTGAAAATGAATCGGGTCCTAAGGATCTCACATGCTCGAACAGTGTCCTTGACAGCAGCAAAGAACATGTCAAGACTAGGTGTATCATTCGCAAGAGCATAGTCAGAAATTTGGATGGTATGGACATAAGTGTATGCATCGCCATCGGTAGCCAGAGAAGCGCTGAGCATGCCTTCTTGGAGTGGCGTTGCGATGAACATCAGACTCTTGGCAAGACGCTCAAGGCTTCTGTCATAGACCTCAGTGTCATTCAACTTACTGCTGACACGCTCGCTGCTGGATTGCGACTTGACAGTGTCAACTGAGGCAGATTTTGCCTTTGCATCTTGCAGAAGCTGAGCGACGCCTTTGATGGTTCGTGCTTTGATCACGGCATGTGAAGACAGCTTGGTCTTGTGTAACTTGTTCATTGACTTGACGAATGGGAGAACGGTGATGGAATCAAGACCAAGCTGGTACAGAGATGTTGAGTCAGCCTTTGATGACAGATCAGAAGGATTGAGTTGGACGAAGCGACTGAGGGCAGCTTGAACATCAGATAGTGCCAGACTGTAACTTGGTGTAGCTGTTGAAATGTTGTCGCTTCGAGGGCCATTAGAGTCTTGGGCTGGGACGGCCTTTGCAGTGAGAGGTGAAGTAACAACATCCGACACTTTGACAGTCTTGTCAGCGCAGCTGTACACAACCTTCTCAAAAAGTTGGCCAACACCCTTGAGCTGCTCTACGTTCAATGCTCCAGCAGAAGAAAGTGTCAGCATGATCTTTCCATCAGCATGGAGATCCACGTCAAACGCCAAAGCCATGTCACTACTGCTACGAGTAGGTAAGGCGGTCATCTGTCCTGGTTTGGCGTCACTAGGTTCGTTGGCAGACACCAGGTTGATACTCAAGAGACTGTCGAAGAGCTTGTCCTCTGATCCCGACCAGCGCTGTACTTTGTCAACGCTGACGAGTGGCATGGGACCTTGGCAAACATCAAGGTGAGACTTGTGAACTCGTTGAGCCAGTTGGGGCAGAGTCTCATCGAGGCTGTTGATGGTAGAGGCTCGAATGAGAGTGTTGAGGCATGGGCCAACAAAGTTGTCAACATCATTAGCAACGCCATCTAGCAATGGCCGAAGTGACATGATGAAGCCATAGACAATGGATGGCTGCTTTGTGAGTTGGGCGAGGCACAAAGTGACAGCCAGCTGGAATGCGGAAGATGCTGATACCGTTCCCTCAGGCCCCAGAGAGTGAGCTTTGAGTCTGGCGTTGAGTTCGGAAGTAGTGTACGCAAAACAAAGAGTCTGACGAGCCATGGTACCACTGGTGTTGTTATCATCAATAGCTCCAAGTCGGCATGGTTGAACGCCCTGCAGTTGTTGTTGCCACGACCGTCTTGTAGCGTCAAGCTGCTCATCCGATAGGCTGCAGTGATTCGAGATGGAGGACAAGGTTGCTAAGCTACTTGGTGCAGCAATTACCGACGTCTGGCTGCTGTAGGCCGCTTCAAGCTTGCTTTTGAGGGACTCGATAGCAACACCGTCGAACAATGCGTGGTGGATGTTGAGTGCCACGATGGTCTCGTCTCCGTCGATTTCGGAAAGCTGTAGTCTGATGGGAGGTCGCGTATTCATCTGAGACACAATATCCGCTGGATGCTCATGATCATCAAGAGGAGAAGATGGCAGCGACCGAAGAACGATCTGGAAGATCTGGCCGTCATCTTCGCGTTGAAGGAAGCAAGTTCGGAGCATCGCTTCCGAGGCGATGACTTCTTCAGCGGTCTTCTTCCATCTGTTGATGTCTGTGCCGTGACTGAGGCGGTAGCTGAACTGTGCCACGTATGGAACGTCATGCCCCTCGACGTTCTCTCTTTCATTGGAGGCACTGAGCCAAACGAGAGAGCGCGCGATGAGAGCAGACTGGAGAGGAAGACAAGGAAGAACAGCCTCGATGTTGGATAAGTCAAGACCTTCTGGAAGGGGACCGAGATCTGATGCGCTGAAAGTCGGGGTGTGTAGATCGTCTGTGGATGGAGGTGTTGACAGAGGTGTGCTGTTAGTCGGGCTGCCACTCTCTTGTTCATCGGCAAGTCTTGCAATATCTGCAACTGTGCACGATGAAGAGAGCAGATGTGTCATCCTCAACTGAGAAAACCCGCGTTTTCTCAAAAGAGAGACTAAATTCACCGCCGAAAGACTGTCGATACCAAGACGTTGGATGCTGCTGGTACTATATGCCTTGACACTACCACCGACAGCCTCTTCAATAGCCGCAACCACAATCGACTCCTTCGCGCTCAAGCTGTTCCCAGATCCAAGCAGGCCTCCAGAATTATTGTCATCCCCGTCGTGATCTCGCTGAGTGGCTACAAATTCCTTTGCCAAACGGCCCAAGATCTTTGTATCGACCTTGCCAGAGGCGGCAAGGTATGGGATCTTGGAAACCCAGACAATGGTAGGTACCATGAAGGCAGGGAGTGTATCCTGACACTCGTGCTCGATCATCTCGAGCATTGAGGCCGACTCCTCATCTTGGGCCTCAAGTAGCTCAACCTCCAGTTCAGCCTGACTCTTGGGACTACTTGTCTTCCTAGCGATGAAGCCAAGCAGCTGTTGTTGTTGATTCGAGCTATCATCTCCGGTGGAAGCAACCGTAGCTGCAAAGTCAAAGTCACCCTTGTCAGCGGCAACTTGCTTCAGGAACCCAACGACCTCATCTAGCTCAAGTCGCTGTCCGCGAATCTTGGTTTGCTGATCGGCTCTACCAAGGAACTCGAGCGAGCCGTCGTTCATCATCCTCATCATATCGCCTGTTCGGTAGACTCTCTTCCTGGTGCCGTCGGGGAGGGAAATAGTCTGAAAACTCGTGGCTTGTTCGACAGGACGGTTGAGATAGCCCATTGCCACTTGAGGACCAGCGATGCAGAGTTCACCTGGCTGGCCTCTTCTAGCAATGACAAGTCTGTCATCATCGGTGTTAGGACACAGTAGTAGAGCCTCGAGACCTTGCAAAGGAAGACCGAGATTGCGAGCATTAGAATCTTGATGCACAGCATGGCCTAAACACCCGATGGTGACTTCTGTAGGGCCGTAGAAGTTGAAGAGAACAGCCCGGTCGTCTGTGGCGCCCGAGTCTTGTGTCTGGGCCCAGGTGTTCAGAAGCTCGTTCGAGGCCTTCTCCCCACCAGTAGTGACTACTCTCACAGACGGAACATCTTCAGGTCGAAGCCTCAATTGGCTCAGCACCGAGGGAACAGATCCAAAGTGTGTGATATTCAGCTCGTTGATCAGCTCCTTCAGATTGGCCATCATGGTTGCGCGGTCCTTGCCGATAACTACCCGATGACCAAGGTGCCAGGGCACGAACAGTTGCGTCAGGTGAGGATCGAAGGCGCGGGAAGTCAAGTTGAGATACTTCCCAGTACCACCGAGTCTTGAAGTAGCAGGCGAGTGTTCAATCAATCGGGTGCTGAATGCAGAGATGAAGTGACAGAGGTTGCTGTTGGACACCCGAACACCTTTGGGACGACCAGTAGATCCGGAGGTGTAGAGAAGATAACCGCCAATGCCGGTTGCTGATGGGATCTCACATACAGGCCATGTCAAGATGGTGTCGATGTCATCGTCCATGTCGGGGAGCAGCAACAGTGGGGGATCATGGGCATCGTCCAGTCCCAAGTCACCGACAAGCTCATCGGTTGTGATGACAAGTCTGGCACCCGCATCTCGAATGAGGAGCTGTTTACGAGCTGGTGGTAGGTCCTCGTCAACAGGAAGATACACTAATCCGGCGCGGAAAATGGCCAGAGTGACTGCCAAGGACTTGATATCTCTACCAAGGCACATAGCTACGGGATCATCAGGCTTTAGACGAGCCTCATGCTTGGTCAATTTCGTAGCGATGGCGTTGGTGAGCTTGTCGAGCTGGGCATACGTGATGGTCTTTGAGGTAATCTCCTCATCGTCATCTGAGGATTGGAACATGACTTCCTCGACGGCGATCCAATCTGGATGCTCTGATGCGTGGAATGAAACGTGCTTAGTCGGATTGACAGCTTCGGTCTCTTCACTGGATGCTTCACCACTGATGGACAGAAGACTCTTGCCCATTCTGTTCTGTAGCTCTGTCAAAGGTGCTTTCGGAGCCTCGGTCATAGCTTGCGCTTGGGCAAGGATCTGGTCCAGCAAAAGGTCCAACTGAGCCTGAGAAATGCGACGTCCATCTCCAGTGAGCTCAATCGTTCCATTCGCCTCAAAGATGTTCAGCGCAAGGGGATGTTCAACGTTGAGCGACAACGCCTGTCCCGCCTCCTTGAACATGGACTGATTTGCTTCAGCTTGGTTGTCATCTGGCGCAGGGTGGTAGACAAAAAGACCCGGGAATGGAGCGTTGCTACTACCACTTCCTCGATTGAGCATCTTCTTGACATCCACAGGGTGAAGGTTGTGTGTGCTCTGGAACATCTGTGCTGACTCGGAGGCCATCTCCTTCCAGAGTTCCTCAGACGAAGCAGCATTGGAGCGGACAATGAGAGGTAGTGTTGCTATCGCGGGACCAACAACACGTGCGAGATCTGGGTGGAGGACTCTTTGAGAGACGGTGTGACCGAGGACGACGGCATCGAGTTCGAGGTATGAGGCGAGAACGCAGCCAAAGGCGGATTGGAGCAGTGTTGGAAGTGTTACTCCTGAAGTGAACTGGATGAATGGAGCGGGAATGTCTTTCCTTGACATGAGAATCTTCTGAGCTTGTTTCCGTCGAGACTGTTTGAGATCAGGGAAAGGTGCATTCAACATGCCTCCACTGGCCGTTCTGCTGATCTTGTCCAGCCGCCGACTCCATAGCGCAGCTGCTTCATCTCTCTTAGATGGGGTCGGCAACAACCCTAGGCTCAGGCCAGTCTCAAACTGCACAACTCGGTTAACATCTCCGACAGACTCCATGTGATACAAGCTTGTGACAGTCTCCAAGAAGATATCGGAAGCTACGGCGTCGTAGAGGGCATGATGCATACTGAGCATCATCTTCTTGGTGTCTTCGACAAAGGTAACAGCCCATGGCGTCTCAATGGTGGTGGTTGGAGACAACTCAAGCTGCAGCTTCTTAGCCAGTTCACCAAGGCCCTGGTTCTCCTCAGAGCGAATCTGATACCAGTGCAAGCTCGGCTTCTCGCGAATCAACTGTAGGATCGTAGAGTGAACACCCTTCTCACGAGCCCAAGAAACTGTGTTGTCGCTGCCAACCACGTCTAGCTGCGTCAAGGGGACAAAGACAGTTCGGAGGATGTCGAAGCGCTTGGCTGCGGCAGTCCAAGCTCTCTTCAATTGACGTTCGTCGATATCGTCTAAGTGGCCGAGATAGAAGATACGATGAGCCCAGTAGGCTTGTGGCTCGAGCATGGTCTCAACGATGAGGGACTCCTGCATGGGTGTTGCGGGGAGGATGTACAGAGTATCAGACGGACGCATATCCCCATTGATGTTGTCAGTAAGCGCCTTCTTGATTGACGCAAGCCATGATGTTTCTGTCTCTCCTGATTGGGTAGACTGGTCTCCCTCAGCCACCTTTGGCATTCGGCTGAGCGTGACATCGACAAGTTCTCCAAGAGACTCACACCTCATGAGATCCAGAACTCCAACTTGACACTTGAGCTCTCGTCTTAGCAACCAAGCAAGCTTGGTAACTTGCAGTGAGCTGAGACCGAGACCTGCCAAACTGTCATCCGGAGAGAGGTTCTCTGTTGGGATGTTGAAATGTCCGGCGATTGTCTGGAGAATAGGTAGCTGATACTTTGTCCACTGCTGCTTAGCCTGACTGCTATGCCCTTGCGCTTGTGTCGAGTCATCTCTCCCAGCCAATACGTTGAGATCTGACTCGGCGTAGATAGCCTGCAGCGCCTTACGATCGACCTTGTTAGAGGCAGTTCTCGGCATGGTTGTATCCAGAACAACAACGTGGCCAGGCACCATGTAAGCAGGTAAGAGATCTTTGGCCCGCTTGAACACCTGGGATCTGATCTCAGAAGTGTCGACGTTGCTAGCCTTGACAGAGACAAAGGTGACAACGACTTTGTTGTTGTTAATCGCGGGTGCGCCTGGACGCTGAAGATACAATGTCTCGACATGTTCAACCGCAGCGTCTTCATCCTTCAGACTTGCACACGCTGCGCTGATTTCACTGAGCTCAATGCGGATGCCCGTAATCTTGACGAGATCGTCGTTCCGGCCGAGAAACTCGAAGCCGTGATCGTTCAATCGTACAAGATCTCCAGTGAGATAGATACGCTCGTCAATGCCCGGACCACCCTGGATGAAAGCCTTGGTAGTCTTGGCCTCATTTGCAAGATATCCTTTGCCGACTTGTGCACCGCCCAGAGCAAGCTCACCAACTCCGTACCGAGGAACAAGCTCCCATCGCTTGGTACCCTGTGAGGTCTCAACCTCGCGAACAGCGTAGGCCGTGCAGTGATCCAATGGAAAGCCAACGTTAGCAGCCTTAGCATTGTCTCGACTCTTGCCAAAGAACTGTCGCATCGTAGAGACGACGGCGTTCTCAGCTGGGCCGTACGTGTTGTATGCACGAGTCGTGATGTCGGGATGCGCCCAGGCCTCAGCGACGTCTTCCGTCAGCTTCTCGCCAATAAACGTCACGTACTGAAGAGTTGAACCCTTTAGTTCCTGTACTGCAATACTGGCTCCGAATGAAGGTGTCAGATGAGCGTGGGTCGGACGAGACTTCCAGATGAACTCGGTGAACGTGCCCAAGACCAGCTCTCGTGTGCCGCTGATGACACTTCCAGCCAGGCCCCAAGTATAGAACAGGTCTTGCACGAAGACATCGAAGCTGTAGGCAGAGAGTTGCAAGGTTCGAACCTGCTCACGATCGTCGTGCTCAACGAGGACTTGCAGGTCGCGCATCGCTTGGGCAGCAGCGCTGTGCTGAATCATGACACCTTTGGGCTCACCTGTTGTTCCGGAAGTCCACAGAAGATATGCCAAGTCCTGTCCTGTGATCTTGGAGACACTGTTGCGTGGTTTCGCTCGGACCGATGTACTGTGATCATTGTACTTGTCCACCAGAATGACTTGTACATCCTTCAGGGCGTCTTGAGCAAGGCAAGGCTCTACGAGAGGAAGAGACTCGGTTGTTGTGAGAAGCACCTTACTCTGCGCTCGAGCGATGAGAGACGTTCGACGTTGAACTGGGGACGTTGTGTCAATAGGACACCACGCAGATCCAGCCTTCAGAATAGCCAGGACAGCTACGTATAGCTCGACACTGCGTTCCATACAAATTGGAATGATGTCAATGTCTTGCTCGCGTAATATGTTCGCCAGACCGTTAGCTCTAGCATCAAGCTCTGTGTAGCTCATCTCAACGGGCGCAGAGTCGAGTGATGAGTAGAAGCTGAGTGCAAGAAGATCTGGCGTTGATGCAGCTTGATCCTCGAACTGAGCATGCAGAAGCTGAGCTCTGTCGCGAGCCTCTCTGGCTGCCTCATCCAAACCTTCTTCCACAACTGGGATCGCCCCCTCAGCAGACAATAGGCTTCTGTCAATGCGCGCCGGCAGACTCTGTACCAGATCATCAGGCAGTGACTTCAAAATAGTCTCGGTGAGTGCAGCAAACTGCTTCACGATGCATGTTGCGGAAGTTTCTGAGAATGTCTCGTTGCGATATGTCAACTTGAAGACGACATCGTCAAATCTCCCATTCCTATCAGGCGAGTTCGGGTTCGTGGGGAAGACTTCAGCAAACATGGCAAAGTCGTAACGTATAGCAGGGTTCGAGATCTCAGTCCAGAGTAAGGGTGCTTTGTCTGATCCATCATCTCCAGGTTGGGGATATGCTTGCAAGGCGAGTGCAGTGTTGTAGGGGAGTGTCTTGAAGACACCAAAGGATGTGTGCCTGTGACTCTGGGCAAATCTGGAGTGGTCCATCAAGCTGTTGACGAGCTTCTTCAGAGTCTGCGCTTCAGGTAAGGCAACTCGACAAGGTACAACAGAAAATGTTGGGCCGTGGACGAATTGATCGTGACCTGAAAGAACGCTGCCAAATGTCACGTCATCTGTATCTGCCTCGGAAAGGATGTGTAGAAGCATGGCCCAAGACGCTTGGAGTATTGTGAGTGGAGAGCCTCCCAGTGACCTGCTCTTACTCCCAAGAAGCTCCCAAGGTATCGGGCTGGTGTGTTGTACCATAGCATGTTGACGAGTCCTGGTTGAAGTTGGCCTGACGTTGTTACCGCTGATGGCCCCAAGCGGCTCAGTCTCCCATCCTTCAAGAGCCTTCTGCCACAATTGATCTGTCTCTGTGTTGACATTGAATGCCCAATCGAAAACAGCGTCGTAGATCCCTCGACGTGGAAGTGGCTGAAGACCACAGTATTGACGGGTAATGTCTGCCATAAGCACTTCAAGTGAAGGTCCGTCGCAGACGCAGTGAGCAGTGCTGATGATCAATAGACCGCCACTGTCATCCTCTTCGGGATCAATGATCTGTACTTGGTACAGTCTATGCGACTCTAGGCTGAGTTCCTCCTCCGCAAGATCCAACCAGGCTTGCGCGTCACCAGAGATACTATTAGGGCTGGCTTTCCTGTGCGTAATCCGACCAGAGTTACCACTTAGTCTCTGCCATGCGTCTTGCGTCAAAACCACTTGGAGGAACGGGGAAAGGTCGTCGTCGCAGGGGAGCATTGCCGTTCGATAGATGGCCTGTCTCAACATCGTCATCTCGACGGCATCCTTGAGGGTTTGTACTGAGACATCAGGCTTGAGTCTGAGCGTGGTATGGCTGATGTAGTTGCGCTTGCCCATGGCAAAGCTCACCGCCAGCTGACTCTGGGTGCTAGTTGCAGGCAGAATCATCTCAATGTCTGGCCCAGAAAGGCTAAGTTTGTCCAGAACCTCCGATGTGTGCTTCGTGGAGAATGTCTCAAGTTGAGCCTTTGTCCTGGCTTGCTTGCCAGCTTTGGTGGTTGAGGCATCGGCGTCTTGACTGCTGGGGAAGAAAACGGAACGGATGGTCGCGCTGCTGTCGAGGAGAAGTGCCAGTGACGGCTCAAGTCGAGGGTCTTCGGAACCTGGCCAGCGCTTCCTGATGTCTCGCAAGATTCTCATCGCACGAAGACTGTCAATACCTGCTTCGGCAAGGACTGTCTTTGCAGTGATGGATGGACCTGAAGTAGGCGAGTCGCTGAGGACATTACTCGCGATTGAGATGAGCTCCTGCTCAAGCTCTGCATCACCAGGATCTTCGAGGGGCTCAATGCTCTCGGCCATACCGCGGTTGGTAGGTCCTCGGTCATCAAGCTCGGTCTTCAGCATCTCATTGACCAACGCCAAAGCTGCCTTACGATCTGCCTTGCCAGAAGCAGATCTCGGAAGCGCATCGACTCTCAGAATCTTGAAAGGTCTCATGTAGTCAGGTAGATGATGCTGAGACGCCTCCAAGCATGCCTGGCGTACAGCCTCGAAGTCCTCACTTGGATCAACAACCACCAGACTCACGACCTTCTCTGAACCCGCTTCTGCAGCCTGCTTCCATACGCAAGAGAGAGTCTCTCTGATAGCAGGGACCTTACTGGCGAGAACACTCTCAATCTCACCCAACTCAACACGCCGTCCACTGAGCTTGACTTGGTCATCAGAGAGTCTGCCCAAAAACTCCACCATGGGAGAACCGGTCTTGTCCCAGACAATTCGGGCCCTATCACCAGTCATGTAGATGCGGCCCCATCGAGGGTCATCTCGGAATGCCGCGGCTGTTTCATCTGGCCGGTTCAGGTAGCCCACTCTGCTAACTTGAGGTCCGGTGATGACAAGTTCTCCCACTGCGCCCATGGGGAGGGGCTTCAAGCTTTCGCTAGCTTGAGGACTTGTCTGGCCCCGAACGATAAGAACAGAGCAAGTTGCTAAGGGTGTTCCGATAACGGATCCGCGCTGGCCTTCAGGCACATGGGGCTGTGCAATACAGTAGATAGCCGTCTCGGTAGGTCCGTATCCGTTGTAAATGCCCTTCGGCACTTGGTTAGTTTCCTCCGTCGCGGTTGAGTTGTAGGGAGCAAAGTTCTGGAGAAGCCGAGCATTCAAGGTCTCACCACCGACCATGAGTCCACTGATAGAAGAGGGATCAAGTAAGCTAGCGAAACTCGGCGTGATATTGGTGATATCAGCCTCCAAGGTAGTGACAACCTTGTCGATGTTTTGCAGAGTGAATTCTCGAGGCGCACAGCAGAGCGCTGAGCCCGTACTAAGAGTCCAAAAGATCTCGAATAGCGAGATGTCAAAGGTCGGTGCAGCGCCTTGGAACCACCTGACAGGCTTGGATGTAGGAGATGCTTGGGGAAAACCGTAGTGGGCGCTCAGGGCAGAGATGGTACATGAGGCTGAGAGATGGCTGACAGCCACACCTTTGGGCAGTCCAGTTGTTCCTGATGTGTACAGGATGTATGCCAAGTTGTTCGCACTCATTGGTGCTAATGCTGCCTGTTCCTTTGGTTCAGCATCGCAAGCCTGCACGAAGGGAGTCACGTCGATAGTCTTTGAGGGGGAGCCGAGGAAAGATGACGACTGTGATTCCCATAGAGACGTTGTTGTAAGCAAGGCAGATGGCTTCAAATCTGCCATCAAACCGTCCTTTCTCTCTCTGGGTGCGTCCACGGCGATGGGACAGAAGGCTACTCCCGCCTTTAGAGCTGCTAGATAGGAGATGTAGAGTTCTGGACATGGGCCAATGAGCACTGCGACTGTTTTGAGAGGCTGCGTTGACTCCTCGCAGGCCTTCGCGATCTTGCCTGCCAGCGCTGTCGCTGCGTTTGCGATCTGACGATATGTAAAGATCACGCGCTTGCCACTTTCGAGGTCCGTCAGGTAGTCAATAGCGATTCTGTCAGGACTCTCAGACACGCGCCTCTCGAATTGGTGATGAAGAAGTGAGCACTTCGCAACATCATCGGTCAAAGTCTCGTCTTCATGAGTGAGGGAGAGGGGCTCAGATCGTGGGGGGAAGTTGAGGACAGAAGGCTGGGTCCATTCAGATCCAGTAAGAATCTCGTCTAGCATGCAACCAAGAGACCTCAGAGCAGCCTCGGGGATGATACTGGCATCCGTCTTGAGTTGCACTTGGTTTTCTTTAAAATGAAGCTGAAGGATCTATCCAGGACATTAGCATACAAATAACCCCTGAGTTTCTTCAACTAGCTATAACTCACCTTGCCTTCACCGATAGAGAAATCAGATGGAATATCTTGATGAGTCTCAGGTTTAACAAAGCGGAAGCTATCAAGCTCATGCCTCTCAGTACTCGAATACTGAGCCAAGATGAAACCACCTCGCTTAGTATCTTGAATACAAAAGTTCTCTCCTTCATCGAGAACGACCAGATGAGATACAAGCTTCACAAATGCGTTGATGGCGGTTTCTTCATCAGGTCTTGGCTCAACAGAGCTGGTCCAGCTGATTGGCTGAGATGCCTCCGTCGATTGCTGGTGAGTATGCAGTGGCCGAAGCTGCGTAACGAGAGGCCGAGTCATAGACATTGTGTTTTCCATAGTGTTGATAGTGTCCATGTGTTACACCGTGTTACAGCTGTCTGGTAGTTCGTGATACTCTGCCGTGGTGTTTACCAGATCATCAAACAGACACAGGGTCTCTGTCGCAAACCACCAAATTACGTCGGCCGTTATCGCTCGGCAATCTTAGCACGGCAGTCAACCAGACTGATGACGATGTCTACCTCAATGAAGCTAGGAACCTTCGTTCAGCACACAGTGTGTCATGGCGTATGGAGCCAAAAGTGGTAGGTAGCTACAGTATCCATATTCGGTGAAACGTCCGATCCCTGCTGACACCCATAATTCATCTCGGTCAGCGTAACGCAGTGGGGGTCTGATGATCTGATAAGATTACGGTTACCTACAGTGCAAACAAAAATAAGCTCGGTTAGCCCCGGTGACTCAATGCAGCCACACCAACTTTAACAAGTTTTACGTTATCTCTCCGAAGATCTTGGCCACAATCGCAATAGCTGCATCAGATAATTCTTACTCATCACGGTTAATACGAAGTTACGTCATGGAAACTACAATTGCAAAAACGAGAATGTCTCAATTCTTTCAGGGTCCGGTCTGTCGATCTACCATGCTAACTAAACTAAAGCGCCGCCCCCCCAATTTTAGACAAAATGCGCCTCCTGGAAAAATCGCTCACGCTGCAGGGCGAACAGCATGGCCGTCTTGTGCGGCAGGTGGAAACGCTTCTTCCTCTCCTGCGGCAAAAACCTGTCCTGGATCTGAACGTGGTTAAGATCATACTCAGGCTCGGCTATCACCTGCTTAGTGCGAGGATCGCGCAGGAAGCAGCAGTGCTTGATCGACGTGGCGACAGCCTGATACCGCTTGCCGCCGCGGAAGCGCTCTTCACCCACTATAATGTGTGAGTTCTGGTCGTGCTCGCCCACTGTGATGTTGCAGTTGGACCCAAAGAAGCAGGCTGCGTTGTCCTCCATGGCCCATCCAATCTCGGTGTAGCCTGCGAGTTCTCCGTCCCACTCAAACACACATGACATGGTATGAGGGTCTTCCAGTTGCTTGGCAAGGTATGCTCGATGATGCTCGTCTGGTCCACGCTCTTTCCATGCCTTGTTGACTCGGTCGGAGTTCTGCCATCGCTTGTATGTCTCGAAGTGAACGGGGTTGGACGCGTCGATGTGTCGGATTTGTAATTGCTGACCAAGCTCGACGATGAAGCGGGAGTAGATGACAGTGCCAGGCTTGGGCTTGGGAGGTCGAACGGGATGGACGGTGCAGACGTTGCCCTTGCGCGTGAAGCCCAATTGGTTCGCGAAAACGCCCATTGTGCCGTTGAAGCCTGGGAATGATGTCACTTCAGGTCGTGATTGAAGCCAGTGCTGTGAGTCGGGTGCTCCAGCGCCTTGCCAGAATGCATCGTGGGAGAGCCAGTAAATAGTCTCGCGGGGAGTTGTAGTAGGTGAGAATGGCGATAGCACGCCCAGGCCGGTGCACTTGATGTATTCGCCAATTCTTTGACTGTCGACAGAGATGGCTATCAAGTCATCGTCTCTGTGATCTGGGTGCAGCCAAAGAGCGTAGATAGACGCCCAGGTCAATGCGAGGTCTTGCTGTCTACCGTGAGATGCGAAAGGCGAACGGGGGTCAGCAACGTCAGAGTTCAAGATCTCTAGCTCAAAGACGGGGCCGAATTGAGCTCTGTTGTCGTTGACCATGGCTGGCGATATTCTGGTCTCACGACCATCCACCGACCATCGCGCCAATGTCGTGTCACCAGATCCAACGAGATAGTCATTTCCATCGCCATGGCCAGTATTAGCAATCCAGATATTGGTTTCGCCGTCGGGGAGTCTGAACGAGGTCTCTTTAGAAGTGTCCCAAGCTTCTTTTGGTGGCGTCGGGTTGCGTGGGGGAGCAACAGAAGTGATGCGGTCAGTAGTCATGCTGGGCGACAACGTCTATAAGTGTTTGTTAGTAGGAAGCCAAGACGACGACAAGATAACCAAGTGGACTCACGAAGATAACGATAATGATTTGTGACGAGTGATTGCTGGATTTACGAGTGCATAGAAGTCTTATCGACAAAGAGATGGAAGCAGACAAGGAGTTTTAATACTAATTACCTTGACTCTGTTTGGCCAGCTTGACACGATGATCATGCTCAAAAGAGTTACTAGTCTACCTTCTACGTTTCATTCACAATCTCATTCAGCTGCGGCCGATGAGGCAGTCCGTTGTGACGTGACATGCGTGCCCCCAGATGATTCAATCCAGGGTAGCTCATCAGCCAAGCTCAAACTTCAGTGTCTCACATGCATTATTACATCTGTCTACATGGCCTCGGAGGATCCCTACCCTGTGCCGTGTTCAGGCAGTTCAATTGTAATATCTACACTGATTTTACACGGGATGGCTGTAAGAATAACAGGTATACAGGAACCGAAGGAGGTCCTCGGTAAAGAAACCGTGCTAAACGAGGACGAAGCCCCCACCAACGTCATATGCCACCAAAACTTTTATGCTTGTTTCACCGCACCGAGCCGTCTTTTTCACATGCCGCCTCTGATAGGTCAATCCGTAACAAATAGCGCATGACTCGCCCCAGAAACTGTGTGGAGATCGGCATTTCTTTTCCCCTTTCAAGTGGAATCAAGTGCCGGGGTTAAACTCGAATGAGGAAGCCGACCGTAAGCTTATTTAATTTCCTTGCTTCGAACCCACCGCGGCACGTTATGTAATCGGAAAGCGGTTACGGATTTCACTGTGAGAACGAAACAGGCTAAACAGGTTCTGATCCTTAGCAGCTTAGCTGGAAGAGGCAGCCACCTAGATCAACGGCTTGAGGAAGGTGATGGAAGCAAAGACAGCGTCGTCCGTTTTTGCATCCACTTACAACTGGCCCCATCGCGTATAACCTGCGATGTAACCCTGAATGGAATTATTGCTGATCTGCACACCTTCCTAAGCGGGTATCCACACAGTTTTTGGATCCTGCTTTGGGAGATCCCTCCGAATACGGACCTACAAGCATGAAGCATACGCTGGCTCTCAGCCGGCCTAGACCTTGGTGACAGAGCCATCTGCCGAGTGAGACTCGTTCGACAAAGCAAGTTTGGTCTCAACCACCATGGCCAGCAACGACGGGAAGAGCTTCCCCCCAAGGAAGTGGTACAGAAGCGTACCCTTCCTATCAGTCAAGCCAATACAGCAGAGACTCACAGCGCCAAAAGGCCCTACGACAGGCAATGTCGAGCACCAAAATGAAGACAAGCTTCCTATGCCAGAGCTTCGGGCAAATTGGCTGTCGATTTTGACCTTCAACTGGCTAGGACGTCTTTTGAGAACAGGTTACACACGACCTCTTCAGGCAGATGATCTGTATGACATGCCTAGCCATAGGTTGGCGGAAGATCATGCAAATCGTCTGGAAGAAGCTTGGGCTGCGAGACTCGCTGTAAACCGAGGACGAAAGCCTGTTACTTCGTCGAAAGCGTTTTCATGGAGGCCGTTCTGGGCAAGACATATAACTGACACGACTGTCTTGACATTGGCTCTCAACGATGTATGCTTCAAATGGTTCTGGCTCGGAGGACTCTTCAAGCTTGCTGGAGACTTGTCGCAAATCTTATCGCCTCTTCTCATCCGATTTCTCATCGCCACGTTATCAGACTCATCGCAACAAGGTCTTCGCTCAGGCTTTGGCTACGTCGTTGGGCTCTTTCTTCTTCTCGTCTTCTCAGTCACCTCAAACGTTCATGGCTTCTATCGTTCTTACACGACTGGTGTCTTGCTTCGGGGTGCATTGATGCACGTCATTTATCGCAGAGCAACGACACAGCTGAGCGAAAAAGCAAAGCTCAAACATGGCCTTGGTACTGGAAAGCTCATGAGTCTCATCAGCGCTGATGTGACGCGAGTTGACTTTTGCTGTGGCTACTTCCACGTCGCTTGGACCAGTATTTTTCAGATGCTGCTCTGCTTCGCCTTGACTATCTGGACCATGGGGTACAGCGCTCTACCAGGATTCGGTCTGCTTGCGCTTCTATACCCTCTTCAGTCATTCATGATGGGCCGCCTACTTCGACTGCGACGCGGCAGCATGCCCTTCACAGACGCTCGAGTCAAAGCAGTTGTAGAAGCCGTTGCCGCTATTCGCCTCGTCAAAACAAACGCTTATGAAGAGAGTTTGCTCTCCAAGATCGGAAAGCTGAGGTCTGATGAAGTTGTGTATATCCGCAAGAGAATGCTTCTCAGAGCTCTCAACACTGCGGTTTCATACACGGCGCCAACTCTTGCTTCAGTCGTCAGCATTGTTTGCTATGGCGCGACTAGCAAGAATGGCATGGACCCAGGCGTTGTATTTTCTGGCCTTGCATATTTTATGTTGTTGAGAACACCTCTTCAAGCTCTTCCTACTGCTCTATCGGCTATTGCAGATGCTAGAGCTGCACTGGAGCGACTCGCACTGTTTATGCTCGCTTCTGATGTGGACCCAGATTCACCTTCATCTAGTCCCCAAACCAGTTTTGGCTATTCTGCAGAGGAGAACCAAGTCTCAGATACCGTGATTCGAGTAGAGGATGCTACCTTTGCCTATCATGATGACACGCAGCTTCTGGCAGCGGAAGAAGAGAAGGATGCCTTACAGAACCAGCCAGAGAGCAGAGCGGTTAGTCAGAGCCAAAGACTGTTGATCGACTCGTTACTGGTAAAGCGCAATCAATTAGTCTGCATCGTTGGAGCCGTCGCATCAGGAAAAACCTCCGTCTTGAAGGCACTTCTCGGCGACTTGCATCTCATCCAAGCACGCTCCTGCCAGCTCAGCCTCACGACTTCTTCATCTCAGATTGCCCTAGCCCCTCAAACTGCATGGCTTCTGAGCGAAACGGTGAGAGAGAACATCGTCTTCGGCAGACCTCTTGACTTCGCGTGGTATGAGGAAGTTCTCACACGCTGCTGCCTCCACCAGGACATGAAGGCTTTACCTGATGGTGACATGACGGTCGTTGGTGAGAATGGCGTTTCGCTCTCTGGTGGCCAGAAGCAGCGTATCAGTCTTGCGAGAGCTATCTACGGGAGAAGTCCACTACTCTTCCTTGATGACTGTTTCTCAGCTCTGGATGCTCACGTTGGTGCTCGCGTGTTTGACATGGTTGTCAACCAGGCACGTCGCAACAATGAGGGAACCATTGTCCTGGTTACACACTCGATTCCGTTTGCTAGACAAGCCGATCACATTGTCTACATGGAAAAGGGCCGCATCGCTGAGCAGGGCTCATTTGAGCAGCTGTACAGTCAGAATGGAGCTTTTTCTCAGTTCGTAGGGTCTTCTTCACTAGTCTTGGACTCGGACTCGGATTCTGAAACCACAGGTAGTGGTGATTCCGAGAAGGCGGCTCTTGATGAATCCGCCATGGAGGGGAAACCGACTGATACAGCCAAGCTTGAAACCAAAGCCAAGCAGGTCACCCAGACTCGTGGCAAAGAGGTGATGCAGACTGAAGAACGAGTCGTCGGCTCAGTCAGTGGCCGAACTTACATCCGCTACGCACAATTCGGCAACGCATGGCTCACAGGCCCCCTCCTCATTCTTTCCATCGCTATCTACCAAGGAACCAGCGTCGTCTCACCGCTTTGGCTCAGCTGGTGGCAAAAGAACCAGTACATCACCATTTCTGAGGACGCATACATGGGAGGATACGCCGCCTTTGGGGCTGGACAATCTCTCGGTCTATTCTGCATGAGCGCGACATTTGCACTCTTCTGCTTCTGGTGCTCGAACAAACTTCATCATGCATCCATGTCCAAGGTTCTTCTTGCGCCTGTGGCCTTCTTCGATACTACGCCTCAAGGCCGTATCACGCATCGATTCAGCAAAGATGTTGATGCAGTGGATAACGTGGTTGGTGAGACTCTACGTCTATTCATCTCAACCTTTGTTCAGGTCCTGGGCACAATCATTGTTGTCAGCATCATTGTACCAGCTTTCCTAGCTATCGCAGCCGCTTTGCTTCTCATCTACACTTGGACGGGCATGTACTACCGCCCATCATCGCGGGAACTCCGTCGTCTTAACAATCTGCTTCGAAGTCGAATTTATGAGCATTTTGGCGAGTCACTTTCAGGTCTTCCCACTCTCAAGGCCTTTGGCGCAGTCCCTCGTTTTGTCGACGATAACGCGCGCAAAATTGACACGGAGAACACGGCTTATTGGCTATCTGTCTCTTGTCAGCGGTGGCTGAACCTCCGTCTGGACCTTTGTGGCGCGACTCTTGTTCTGGCTGCTGGTTTACTTGTTGTTGGACTTCGTGGGACTATTGATCCTTCGTCTGGCGGTGTAGTCTTGTCCTACATCGTCACAGCTCAGGCTGTGTTTGGCAACATGATTCGTCAGAGCGCAGAGATCGAGAACAACATGAACTCGGTGGAGAGAATGCTTCACTATGCCTACAACATTGAGCAAGAGCCTGCCCATCAAGTTGATGATGTTGACAAGGAGCTCAAGACCCGCCAATGGCCGCATGCTGGTCATGTTCAGTTTCAGTCTTTTACCCTCAGCCATCGTCCCGGACTTGAGCCTGCACTCAAGGATGTCAACCTGGACATCAAGGCCGGCGAAAAAGTCGGCATTGTCGGCCGTACGGGCGCAGGCAAGACAACATGTAAGCACCAAGAATAGTCCCTCTACGTCAGGTACTGACATTCGAATAGTAATTTCTGCATTGTTGCGAATCACCGAACCTACGAGTGGTCGAATCCTCATCGACGGAGTCGACATTCACACCGTCGGCCTCCACCTCCTCCGATCAAGCCTCTCCGTCATCAGCCAAGATGCTGTTCTTCTAGCTGGTACCATCCGCTACAACCTTGATCCTTTCCAACAATACGACGACGAGTGGTTACAACAATGCCTAGACCGCGTTGGCCTCGGCCGATTCTCGAAAGAACAAGATAAAGAAGCAGAGGAAAATGAGAAGCACGATTCGGAGTCCAGCAGTGAGGGATCAAGTCTAAACCTAGACTCAGAAGTCAAGGAAAACGGTTCCAACATCTCGCAAGGACAAAGATCTCTCATTTCTATTGCTAGAGCGCTCGTTCGCAAGTCCAAGATTGTTATTCTAGACGAGGCAACGGCGTCTATCGATGGCAGAGCAGACGCAAAGCTTCAAGCCATGCTGAACGAGGTCGTTGGAGACGCAACTGTTCTGACAGTGGCTCATCGACTGGATACGATTGTTGCTACGTGTGACAAGGTTGTCGTTATGGACAGCGGCAGAGTAGTTGAGTTTGACACTATCTCGGAGCTGTATGCCAGTCCAGGCAGTGTGTTTAGATCTTTGTGCGATGCAGCAAAGATTTCCATTTAGTCATAGTCTTTACAAGCAAATACTTCAGTTCATATCCATAGACTTCCTACCTAAATCTACTTAATTTGATCCTTCTTCACTCAGGTTTCCAGTCACGCGACAAGGACGTTACATTTACTTGGGATTGCCACTGCGACAACGGAGTAGCTTAGATTGATAAGATCGTCTGATGATTAGATGACTCTTACGTGCATAGATTGATAAGTGAACAGAGATCAGCATCCGCCAAGACGAAGACCATGGGAATGTTGTGTACCGATGTTACATGAACGGCGTAAACGTTATTTTTGCAAACCCTGAAGTACTACCGCTGCCAAGTCGTCGGTATCGATCCAGGTATAGGGTCTCACTTTAGTTCAAACTTTATGCATTATAGCCTCGAAGCAACGCGTCACGAGCTGAAGCATGAACGGGATGTCTTGTAATTGAGTTCAAGCCCGTGACATCGGCAAGGAACGGACCAAGAGATCTTCATGATGGACAAGCAATTGGCCACTCTCAGGATCTTAGCTCGTCATTGATAGAACCCCCTGATTTGTCAAGAAAACTTTGCCTTTCCCGTGAACCAACCAAGGCATGTGAAGCGTCGGCGCGTTCCCTCTTCTTGGAATCTTGATGCATGGGTTACAGCTGCATCAGAGACCGCATGGGGCCAGGGATATTCTACCGTCTGTGTAAATGTGTGATACACTGTACTTCTACCCCGACAGGGCAGAGATCTGCAGCCCGTCCCACACCACGGCCGATCCCTACTGCACGCGACCATCTGATTAGATGGACGACCTGTTGATAATCTTGGCTACCAACCAACACAAGTGGATATGAACAAGATCTGATAATTTTTTCTTCGACTCGCCGGGCAAAAACAAAAAAAAAGACTCACCTGTTTCTGGTCCTCCCACGCCTTGGCTAAGGTATACCCCACTCACGCCCCGAGAATCAGCACTATTATCGTCCGTTGTAGGCGAGCCGAGGACCGGCGAACGAGGGGGTCCTGTAATCTGTCTGTACCTTGCACTGCACACTGTCTGTTGGTCCTGTCTTTCTTCCTTCTCTGCGAAATGGGGGCGACCAAACAGCTTTTGGAAGTTGTCTTTAGAAAAGTCAGGCCAGACGGCACTACCGCTGCAGATTGAAGACTTTTCATTCTCTTCTTCCTCCCGCTTCCCTGTTTCCCCTTCTTTTAATGCTACGTTGATCTACCCGACCTGGAGCGATCTACAGCTCATTTTTTTCTGTCCCGTCCCCCAAAAATGTCAGCGCCTAAGCACCCCGAGGGCAGCACTGAGCAGCCCCCCGCCGCCCAAAACACGTCGTCGCAAATGTTCGAGCTCAACGAGAAAAAAGACTACGACGCGTCCAACTCGCCCGTCTCCGACGATGATGCCCATAAGGAAATCGGCGTAGGAAGGGTCGAGGCCTTCAACAAGGTGCTCTACCAGTCTGGCAAGAAGGGCAAGATCCTTCTCTGGCTTCTTGGTATCTCCATTGGTCTTACCATGTTCGCCTACGCCCTTGACATGGGTATCACGACTACCATCTTTGGAACGCTTGCGGCTTCGACCTTTGGTGTTCACAGTCAGCTCGGTACTGTCAATACGGCTGGCCAGATCATTCGTGCTATTAGCAAGCCTTTCATTGGAAAGCTTGCTGATATTACTTCTCGACCTACTACTTATGTCGTGGTGCTTGCTTTCTACGCTGTCGGCTTTGCTGTCGCTGCTAGCGCCTCGGGCTTCACTGCCTACACTGTTGGTATCTGCTTCACCTCAGTCGGCAAATCTGGTCTTGATCTTCTCAGCGACATCATCGTCGCTGACTTGACTCCTCTCGAATGGCGAGGCTTCTTCAGTGCTTGTCTTTCTCTGCCCTTCATTGTCACTGTGCCCGTCAACGGCTTCATCGCTGATGGCTTCTATGAAGATTGGCGATGGGGTCTCGGCATGTTCGCTATCCTCGTTCCCGCCCTTCTCATCCCCGCCATCCTCACCCTCTACACTATGCAGCGACGTGGTGAAAAGGCTGGAATGGTCACCATGGCTGATTCCAAGGACGTTCGATTGGGTCGCTCCGAGGCCACGCCCAAGAATTTGACCTATTGGGCCAAGCTCGCATACCGTGGTCTGATTGACATCGATATCGTTGGTCTTATTCTTCTTGGCTTCGCTTTCTCTCTGATCCTTCTGCCCATCACACTGGCCAAGAGCGCAAAAGGCGGGTGGAACAACCCAAGTATGATCGCCATGATCGTCGTTGGATTTGTTATTCTCATCTTGTTCGGTCTGTACGAAATGTATCTTGCTCCCAAGCCAATGATGACCAAGCGCATTGTCAAGAACCGTGCTTTTATCGCTGGCGTCATCATTCACATCTTTAATCAGATGGCCTCTTCTGTTCGCAACACCTACTTCTCGTCCTACATCCTCATCATCAAGGAGTGGACTACATACCAGTGGACCATCTTCCTTGGTATCACTACCATGGGTCTCTGCTTGGTCGGCCCCGTCGTTGGATTGATCCATCGTGTCTCTCATCGTTACAAGGGCCTCATGATCTTTGGTGCTGCTGCCAGGATTCTCGGCTATGGTCTTCTCATCAGCCCCAACGGAATGATGACCCAGGACACTGCTCGTCTTGTCGCTGCTCAGCTCATCTTCTGCCTTTCTTCCCTCAACGTCGTTGGTGCTCGAGTTGGTGTCCAGGCCTCTGTTCCCCACGATGACGTTGCTTCTCTCATCTCCATTATCACCTTGTGGTCTACTCTCGGATCCAGTATTGGTAGTGCTGTCGCGACAAGCATCTGGACTGAAGAGATGGTTGCTCAGATGCACGTCGAGATGCCCGATGTTGACGATACCACCATTGCCACCATTTACGGCAACATCAAGACTCTCAAGAAGTATGACTTCTTCGATCCTATTCGTCAAGGTTCTATCCGTGCCTACGCCATCGTCAACGGTCATATCACCATCGCTTCAATCTGCCTGTCATGCATTCCTCTCATCGCCTCTCTCTTCATGCCCAACTTCTACCTTGGCAAGCAGCAGAACGCCGTCAACAACAAGGGTCTTGATGGTGAGATTGTCGATGTCCCAGACCAGAATGGGCCAAGAGACGCAAATGCGACTCAGCAAGAGCCTGCAACATTCATGCAGAAGCTGGCTGCTCTGTACCGAAAGTAGATGATGTCAACTTGTGAATGTAAGACCTTTATAATAGGTCAGACAGAAAGTCCCTGGCTTAGGGGATGATAATGCCACTGGGGCTTTCCCTTTCCCTGGTCTCCAAAAAGTATCTACTACCATATTATTACCCGAAACCATAGCTACAACTACCTTAATACAATCGCTACAGTTTGCCTCATACTACGTGAAGCTGGTGTCAAGTTCAACCATTTGCATGCGTCCTCAGTGCTGAATGACTATTACCTGACTTAATTTAACGAGTGTTGTGATCTTTTGGTGCAATGTTGTTGTATTTAATGGCTTCCAAACAGAAGACAGAGCGTAACAAGCTTTCGTTCCATGCTGCCAAGAGTTGATTACCTGTATTTAGCGCCTTAAACCCAAGACTATCGGAATAACTGATAAACCCGTGATGCCGACCCACTGAGCTGATTATCTGATCATCTGATAACGATTTGGTCAATATGACCATCATGATTTCTGAAACCTTTGAACCTTCCATCAAAGCCCAAGATGCGGTACTGGGGACGCAAAATATTATGGCTCCTCGCTCTCAGCTTCCTATGCCATGCTGAGGGTTTAGCTACCCCAAGTCATTGCGGGAAAGCTTGCCGACAAACATTTCGAACTCTCCGATTTGCCGATGCTCCCCCGGGTGTTTTCTTCACGGTGCAGGAATGCACCAGCCTCATTTATCAAACTTCGCTTCATCTTTGCTGGGAAATAAATTGCTCTGAGGATTTTTGGCGAGCAGAGGCAGCCTCAATGAACCAGACATGTCACGATATCAGCGGTTCTTATCTTCTACCACATAGTATCATCAATAACCTTACAGATCACGACATCGAGACTATCGCAAGATTCAATGCCACAAGCCCGGATCGATCCTATGTTTATGGAGCCCTGATGCTTCCATCGCAGCCATACTATGATATATGGGTCAGAACGCTGGTCAGTATAACATCCCGAAACTGACGAGATCATTTAACGGGTTTAACAGGAAGCACACGATTACATATGGGACTACCACAACTATTACGGCTGGGCCATGGGGATATTCTGGGCTTTGGTCATCGGAGTGGGCATCGCGGACCGGGCTCTAGGCCGATCCTTCTTCTACCAAGGTCGAAAGACGTCGTGGGTAAGGCGTAACATTCTTCTACCCGCAACTATTGGCAGACGCTGTGTACAAGACTATGGGGGCTGGGGCACTTTGCCTCCGAGGATACAGACATTCATTCTCATTCTTTTCGTGGTCCTCAACATAGCATGTACTATTCACGGATACGAGATATTTGAAGGTTATGGCTAGTAAGTTTCCCCATTACTCGATTTGGAAAGGCATACTGACCTATCAATACCCAGCTACCCTTCCATCTGGACACAAGTGCTGCGACACGTATTTGATCGAACTGGGATACTCTCCTTTGCCAACTTTCCCTTGATATGGCTGTTCGGTATGAGGAATAACATCATCATCTGGTTAACAGGCTGGGACTTCAAGACTTATAACAACTTCCATCGATGGGTTGGTCGAATCGCCACGTTACAGGCCATCATCCATTCAATCGGATATACAATTATCATTCTGCAACGTAGGGTAATTGACTAGCTTCGTCGGTATGCTTACTGACTTTTGCAGGTGGTGGCTGGAAGTACTTCTGTCAAATATGGACATTTACCTTTTGGTGGACTGGGGAGCTTGTGAGGAGTTAAGCCCACGATGCTACCATTAACTAACCACTTCATAGGCCACAATATTCATTTGTCTACTGGTGGGACTATCAATGTTTTGGGTACGGCGTGAAAATTACGAGTTCTTTCTCATTACGCATATTGTACTATCATTTTGGGTCCTCGTCACTATGCTCGGGTACGCTCAACAATGATAACACGGGCTACATCGCGAACTAACAGAATATCAGGCACGTGTCGATATTTAGTGGTGCCTACGATCCTCTTGTGTGGGTTCCAGCACTCATTTGGCTTCTTGATCGGGTCATTCGCGGATTGCGCATCATGGCCTTTAACCCCAAGTTCTGGGACACCAAGGCTCTCATCACTTACAACGAAGACGCACACATGATCCGCATGACAGTCCCAAATTCTTCAAGTCTCTACAGCATTCAGCCAGGGACATTCTACTATATCATGGTGCTCAATCAACGGAACTTTTGGGAAAGCCATCCCTTCACCGTAGCAACAATATCGGGACCCGATCAATGCGATACAGATACCTTTGAAGAAGATGCACCGTTGCTGAACCATGGATCTTTTGATGAACAGAGACCTGTATCCAAGAAGTCCCAACGAGAAATGACCTTCTTGATTCGGCCATATGATAGCTTCACTTCGCGACTAAGGGAGTATGCCGAAGAAGAACGACCGAAACCGGCGACGGCACGTGTGGCTATTGACGGTCCATACGGCAAGACTCTACCTCTTCAACGTTTCCAAAAAGTATTATTCATCGTCGGTGGGAGCGGAATAGCGGTCCCGTTATCATATCTTCACAAACTCACAAGACTCTCGAGCAAGCCGTCAAGGATCGAAGTCCACTGGGCTGTGCGACAATCAGCCTTCGCCGTTGATGTTCTGAACAATGACTTGAGTAATGTGCTTGGTAACGATCGGGTAGAAATCAACATCTATCTGACAGCCGGCGATGTTGATGGCAGAATAGCATGCGATGAAACCATGTACCGACTCGCGAAATGGAAGTCCAAACGATTGAACGTTGAAGGGATCATTGACGGAGCATTAGAGGGTGACTATGAAGGAAGCATCGCAGTAGTCACTAGCGGTCCTGCCAAGATGGCCGATGAGAGCAGATGCGTGGTGGCGGCAAGGACAGTGCCATCGTTGCCGCCTATTGAGTACTTTGAGGAAAGCTTCCAGTGGTGATAAGTTTAATATTCAGACACCTTGCAGTAACACGGCTTGACAATCTCAAGAATTACATAAGTATAACTAAGAACCTAGTAGCTCAGGACACCAGTTCCTTCTAGTGTCTTGGCCTGCCTTGAACTGTTGGCATTGTCTCAATGGGCTCTTCATGCTCCACTATGACCTCTTGCAGCCACCTTTAGGGCATTGTATATTCTCATTCTATCTATCATATCTACATTTTCCAGACAGAAGGTAAACTAACCAACTCGGTCGCCAATGTTGAACTTTGGCAGCCAGATATCGACAACAGCTGCTCTGCCAGAACGGACAACTTCAATGCCTTTAGCGATTGCTGCATCCACCTCATTTGGTTCCTTGACAACTGTTCCCCAACCAGCTCCCGCTGCCACCGCAACTTGCGAGTGATCACAGCTGGGGTCAAATGTTACATGTAAATCGTCTGCCTGGACCATCCTGCTCGAGTACCCGTTCTTATGAACGGCCAGGGCGCTCAGCATCGGGCTCTTCCAACCTCGGTTGTTCAGAATGACAGTCAAAAATGGCGCATCGTACCGTCTCGCCATCCAGTGCACCGTGGATGGAATGCTGAACATGAAGCTACCATCACCTGTCACAGCCACAACCAGTCGACTTGGGTGAGCCATAGCAACCCCAATGGCGGCACCGCCGTGCCAACCAAGAGCGGTTGCCCCCGAGGTCAGGTACGTCCCAGGCTGCGAGCGCATGAGCACATCACATGTGGGCCGATAGTTGGAAATAGCTTCACTCAGGACAATGGTATCCGGAGTGAGGTGTTCGCGCAGCCTGGACAAGGCAAAGTGGGGAGTGATGGCCGTGGCAGGCTGTGCCTCCATTGACCTGACTTTATCGATGTAGGTGTCATGTAGCGAGGTAACGTTGCCGATCCGAGCCTGAACCACTTGTGCAGATATAGAGTTGGATTTAGAAATGGCACTATTCAACTGCCGTAATGCTGTAGTCATGTCCGCTTGGCAGGAGAGTTCTACATCGATGTGGAACAGAGACATGTTGACCTTGAGAGGGTCACAGTCAATGTGGTAAACCTTTGCAACCTTGGAAGGACGGAACACAGATTTGATCCACGGAACATCGCAGTCTAGGACAAGCACGACATCTGCATTATCCAGGATACCGTTGGGCAGACCTTCACTCCAATGGTTGCCAGCATAGAGACAGTGGTCATGCGGGAAGTTCATATAAGCGGGCAAAGCTTCCTGTTTCATGCAACGAACATCAGTCAGTAAAGGCTTCTAACTTTCAAGCAAGTGTGACATACGAGTACAGCTACTCCGAGCGACTCGCAAAGCTTGATGAGCTCTGCTACAGCCTCGGTATCACGGCCAAGATAAGTAGTGACGACAACCGGGGATTTCGCCGAGATCAAACTTGCGACAATCTCATCCACAACGACCGGCGCAAGGCCGCGAGGTGCCAGTGGCTTCCACTTCCTCTCATCCACAGTATATGGTGTGATATTCTCTTCCAACGCTTCACGCGAGGCTATCAAATATGAAGGCCCTTGCGGGTCGCTCTTGGAGAATTGTGCCGCGCGAAGCACAAGTTGCTTGGCGTTTCTCCCCGTCCTGATCTCTTGATCTAGGACTGTGTAGCCACGGACGATGCCGCGCTGATCAATCGTGTCTTGAAGATAATGAATGAATTCCTGTATGTGCGGGAGCAAGCATGTCACTTAGTAAATGAATACGCCTTTTCGGAAGTGAAGCATACTAACATTTCGTGTGCCCGTCAATTCTCCCTCTTCTGTGACTGGGCTAGTGCCCGCAATCATGATCACGGGAATTCGCGCCCGTGAAACATTGTGTATAGCGCCGGCCATAGCGAGAGTACCGGCATCGACATGGACTAGCACGGCCTGCATACGACCTGTGGCCTGGAAGAAGCCCTGGGCTGCGCTAAGGCCCACGAACTCATTGGGCGCTGTAAATACTTGCAGGCTTCCTTGTGTCTTTTCCGTTTGGCGCTTGCTGATAGCTTCCAAGAATGCCGGATGGTCACTGCCGATGTTAACGTATAAATGAGTCACTCCAGCGCTCTCAAGAGCTTCAAGAATGGCCGTTGCTGTCGTGTAGTCGCTCATTGTCTTTGCGTCACGTCAAGTAAACCAACTGATCAACTTAGGGTAATAATACGCTTTCCCGTGCGATGGCCTGTCGGCATCGGTTAACACGAATATATATATATATATATATATACGTATACCTACTTGCAGTCCATGTAAGCCATAATGGAAACGAATGGCTAGAATGATATGCGTGTGCCTTGCCTCATAAAGGCCAATAAGACGATGGCTCGGGTCTACCGAAATTCCAGCAAGTCAAGCGACCAGGGATCATAGATTCGTCCAGTTCCCCGCAATCCGGAAATTCCGAGCCCAAGAACCACGATAAAGAGACACGCGTCAAGTAAACGATAGCCAGAGTCCAGGTTGGACTCTACATTATGTTGACTAGTGTGGTGTAGGATTGTGGGGGCTCGGTTATAGCGGCAAGCTACGAACGTTGCCAGGCTTACATTGGAGGACTGGTCAGGCGATTTCGGCTTAATAATAAGGAGCGAGGACAAAAACAAATATTTTTGGTTTCGGAGAATCCGAGGAATCAGTGATCTATTTACTATAGACCTATAAGCCAAGCTGTAAAGAGACCGGCTTTATTATAAGCAGTGTTTTTCTTTACTTCCACTTAAAAACTCATTGAAAACTAAAGATTATAAAGATAAACTAACAGTAGAGGATTAGGTGATGCTTGTTCCTTTATAATGTCTTACTAATTATATACCTAGCTAGCTGTAAAAGAGCGGTTAAGTAAGAAGAACTTGGAGCCTAGATAGGAAAGAAACCGCCCTTTGCACTAATTGTTACTACTCGATCCTCAGTGAATTCATTAATGCATGCAGAGCCCCCAAAACGCCCATAGCCAGAAGCCTTTTGCCCTCCAAGTGGGAGATGAGGCTCATCTAAGTCAGGAATTGTCAGCACTTTAGGCTTTCTTGAATGGAGTCTTTATAGACAGACTCACCATGAACGGTTGCTCCGTTGATGTGGCAGGATCCGCTGCGGATCTTGCGGCCAACTGCCAAAGCCTCGGAAATATTCTCGCTGAAGACAGAACAAACGAGACCATACTCTGTGTCATTAGCAAGATCAACAGCCTCTTGGGTTGTTTCAAACTCGAAGAGTGACACCACAGGCCCAAAGGATTCCTGGTAGTAGACGTCCATCTCTTTGCTTACGCCCTCAAGTACAATGGGTTGGACAACTGCACCCTCAAACCCGGGTTTGCCGCCCCGCACTTTGGCACCCTTAGAGAGTGCATCTATAACCAAGTTCTCGACACGGGTTCCGGCTGTTGGGCTGATCAGAGAGCTAAGGGCCGCGGTGCCATCTTTGGATGGGTCAGCAGCATGCATTGAGTTGATCTAGGATATTACGAGTTAGCTAGGTAGGTATCAAATTCACAGCTGCTATCACTGACCTTGATAGCGAAAAGTTCTGCAAACTTTGCAAAGATCGATTTGTGCACAATGAGTCGTTCAGTAGACCTAAAATTACAAGCAGCTCAGAATACAGCCTATGAGGAGAGGAGGAAACTTTTTTCTTGTTCTCTTACATGCAAATTTGGCCTTGGTGTTGCATTGCGCCAAAGGCGGCTGCTCGTACAGCCTCTTCCAGATTTGCATCTTTCAAAATCACCATCGGTGCCTTGCCTCCGAGCTGCCAGGAATCAAAGCATTAGCTTCCGTTCTGGAACAGAAACCACTATTGATGACTCACTTCGAGAATGGCAGGCTTCAGATATCTTGCGCACACAGTCGCAATCATTCGACCAACGGCTGTTGAGCCAGTGAAGTTGACGCGTTGAACAGCTGAGTGGCCAATCATAGTTTCTGTGACCGATGGCGCCACGTTGCGTGGGCAGCATATGTAGTTCAGCACACCGTCAGGCAGCCCCGCCTCCAAAAAAGCATCAACTATAAGATATTGCGTGTATGGGCTGGATTCAGATGCTTTCAGCACCGCTGTATTGCCACAGACAATCGGGATAACGAAAGCTCGCGTTCCTAGAATCTAGGTGGCTCTAGTCAGAATACTATCATGACAAAGATTGATTTACTCACAATCGGAGCATTCCAAGGTGCGATTCCTAGAACCACGCCGCACGGCTCTTTGAATATCATGGCAGTAGTTCCTGGATTTAAACACGGTCTCAGAACATGATCTCAACAAGCGAAATAGATTACTGGCAGTCTTGGAATAATAAGAGACACACCTTTGCTGTTACTTTGCAAAAGCTCGCCTTTAATTTGCGTTGCCATTGCAGCAGCCTCGTGGATGAGCTGAACGCAGGTTTCGATATTGAATGATGCCCAGCTCTTTTTGGCGCCTGTCTCCTGCACCATTGCCGCAACGATCTCGTCGCTGCGCTTTCTGATGATATCGGCGGCCTTGAGCATGACTGTACGTCTCTCAAGCGGAGTGCTGTCCCGCCATGTCTCAAAGGCCACTTCAGCGGCTTTGACTGCTTCGAGGGCATCGTTCTCGTCTGCAGAAGGAGCTAAGTGAATTTCTCTCTGACTGACTGGATCAAGAACAGGAAATGAGCGCGCCACGGGCTTTCTCTGTCCATTGATAATGAGACCAAATTTGGAATTATCACTACCGTGATTCATCTTGATGTCTTCTGGCATGGTTTAAAGGCTGAGCGAGATAGATTCTAGAATGTAGACAACTGTGGTCTCTATTCCTAGAAGTCGAGGTAAAGATAAATAAAATTTGTGACCCCACAAGCATCAATATCAAACAAGATAACGAGGAAACCTACTCCGCTCAACACAGCTACAAGGATCTAGACATGGAAGAGAGTCAGGTCGGGATTTCCGAAAACCTTTGTGGCCCCGCTCATTGTCAAGGTAAGTTAAGTTGCACCCTACGCGGATATTCCGGTTGCAAATCTAATCTTCCCCGCAATCCGGGAATGCGCTTCCCCGGATTTCCCCAGATTGGAAGTCTGAAAGATTACGGTATTTGCAGGGCCCCTTGGAGCTTCTATTAGTTCGTTGAGTTGCGTTGTGTTGGGCAGATATGGTCTCAAGCGATCGCAGTTAAAAACAGGGTATTGGCTCCTCCCCGATTTCCTGCTTGTATTCTCATTCCGCAACTCACAACATTACACTCTCATCTTGATTTTATTTCTATACTCAGCTGCACTTCTCTCTACTGAGGGACTCATGGAGAAAGACAACGAAACCGCTCATGGTGAACACCGTGAAGGGGATGACCTCAAGACTCTAGCTGCCGCGACCTCTTCTGTCAAGTTGAATAGTCGTGGTATTGTCTTGTTTCCTCGACCTACCAATGATCCCAATGACCCCCTTGTATGTCTATACTTTGCTTGAAACTTTTAGGAAATCTGTATCTGACAGCCATGCGATCCAAACTATACAGAATTGGTCAGCTTTTGAGAAGTACTCAACTTACTTGACGGTGTGTTTTTTCACCTTCCTTGCCACCATGAACGCATCCAACTTCACCGTCGCCATCAAACCTCTTTCTGCAGAGTTTCATCGAACCCCCACCGAAGCGGGATACCTCGTTTGCTTCAATGTGCTTTGGCTGGGAGTCGGAAATATTATTTGGGTTCCCTTGATGCGTGTTATTGGAAAGCGCCCGGTATATCTTGTAGCGCTTCTGCTCCTGATGGGGTGTAATATTTGGTCTTTCGAGACGCATTCCTACGGAAGCCTTCTTGCAGCTCGAATCATTTCTGGCTTCGCAGCTTCGGCATCCGACGCGACAGTCCCTTCGCTAGTCACAGATTTGTTCTTCATCCACGAGCGCGGTCACTGTATGATGATATTTCATATGGCGCTGAGTTCTGGTTTCTTCCTTGGTCCGCTTATCTGCTCCTGGGTGACGCAGGACATCGACTGGCGGTGGACTTGCGGTATTCTTAGCATCGCAGCGGGACTTACCTTCATCGTTGGTGTTTTCACGATTCGCGAGTCACATTATCCTCGTGACAAGGCGGATTTTAGTCTTCCGGTTGAATCATACAAGGGCAAGAGAGGCTTCTTATTTCAGTTGAGTCTCACTCGTGGCTACGACTCGAACGCTTCTTTTGTCGCTACATTTCTACGAATTCTCACCTTGGTAGCCTATCCACCTGTTTTGTGGACAGGACTAACAGTTGGTGCTTTTGTTGGCTGGTAGGCCTCACCTAATAATGTTCATATGTTCCGAGTTTCCCTTCATTTCTATCTTGTCTTTGAAGAAGCTGAATGGAACATGAGGTATTTGTTAGGGCTAATACGAGATCCTACAGGAACCTGGTTGTTCAACTGACGGCATCTTCAACCTTCACAAAACCGCCATATGATTGGCATATTGGCATGGTTGGTATACTGGGAGTGTCTGGGTTCATTGGCGCCGTTTTTGCGTTCTTCATCGGAGGCAAACTTATTGACATCATTGCAATTCGAATGACAAAACGTAACCGAGGTCGACATGAACCAGAATATCGACTGCCAGCAATCATTGTCCCAGCCGTAATTGGCCCCATGGGTGTCCTTACATTCGGTCTCTGTATAGCACACCACACCAACTGGGTTGGTTCCGCATTTGGTTATGCAATGGAAGGCTTTGGCCTCACCGCTGTGTCCAATGTGGCTGTGACATATGCTGTGGACTGCTACCCAGAGGTGAGTGATAATAGGGCAAGTCAATCGACATCGTTTGCTGATTCATGTTCCTTTAGCTTGCAGGTGAGGCTCTCGTCGTCATCTTCATCATCAGAAACTCGGTTGGAACGATTCTGGCACTGTACACAACAAAGTGGCAGGAGGGAACAGGCGTACAGAATGTGAGATGCATATCTAATATCCTTACCAGATTATTGCAGCCTCCTGCTAACACGTGGCTCTAGGCATTTGGACAGATGGTTGGGCTGCAGTATTTTCTGATTCTTATCGTGATCCCTATGTATATCTTTGGGAAGAGAATTCGTGCTTGGACGGCTACATTTGGTCCTGCAAAGTATATCTCTTCAAGGGACTAAATGAGATAGCCTCTCCCCAGTAGAAGAGTCTAGTATTTAGCAAGTTCGCTGCTCCACATAGGATACGTGAGCCACTTCTGCCTTTTCAACTCGCTTTTGCTCAAGAGTAATCAGTTCCTCAGGACGCTCTCTCTGCGTGAGCTCTGGAACATGGCAAACGATCAGACCTGGATTCTGTATGAAGATCTGGTCCATATCCTCGAGGGTACGACGAGCGGTTTCGGGATAAAGAAAGTAAACGATCGGGAAGTAGGAATAGCAAAAGCCAGCAAATACTGTCCTTGTCAGCGGTTTGTTCTGAAGATTGCAGCTACCGGACACCCACGAAGGAAGAAGCCCCAATTGAGATTGTCAACGCCAGTCTTTGTGAATTGAGTAACGATGAAGCCACCCATCCAGTTAGTGGCTGTGGCAGCTGCAGCTCCCCTCGTGCGCCAGCCGAGAGAGTTGACTTCCGAGTTGAACACCCACGGAACCTTGGCAAAGCTAGTACCGTAACAGAAGTAGTAAATAAAGAAGAAGGCAGTAGTAACTTCGCCGAGCTAGGAGGAGGTTAGCTGTTTACTTCAATCTGGATGTCTGTGATCCATGACGTACTCTCTCCTTCATGCCTGGGTTATGCTTAGCGCCGAGAAGAGTCATGGACACAATCATGTAGCACGAGCCCATTGTCGCTGCTCCATAAAGCATCATCCTAGGAGGGTCAGTGAGTTAACAGGTATTCGTGGGCTAGGTATAGGCTTACTTTCGGCGACCGAAGCGGTCAATGATGAACAGACAGCAGATAGCGGCAAACAGGTAGATGGTGCCATTGACACCAGTGAGAAGGCGACTTCGGCGCGCACTGTAGCCAAGAACCTGCTGTAACATGGTAGGTAGGTAGTAACCGAGAGCGTTGACCCCTGAGAACTGCTGCATAAATTGCGTACCACACGACAGTAGGATTCTGCGAAGGTTTTGAGTCTTGTCACGACACCTGAGCATATCAATCGTGGATACGGTCTCATTGCGCTCTTGCTGGATTGTCGCTTGGATTGATCTGAACTCTGTCACGACTTCGATATCCTCGGTGGTCGCGTTGCTGCCAGCAAGTCGTGCTATGACCACAAGAGCCTCCTCGTGCCGGTCCTTGAGCATCAGCCATCTAGGAGAATCGGGGACAAACAATAACGCAACAGCGATGACGCAGGGGAATAGGAGCTGAAATCCGAGGGGAAAACGCCACTGGATAGGGCCGCTTCGAACACCGAGGGCGTAGTTCATCCAATTGGCGAGGCAAAAGGCGGCGGTATTGCAAAGGGACTGCACGACAACGAGTTTGCCTCGAACGCGAGGCTTAGAGCACTCGGCCTGATAGACGGGACAGGTTGATGAGGTAACTCCTGCGAGCCAATACATGAGATTGTGTTTCAACTTGCGTGGAGTAGATGAACGTTGGAGACATACCCATACCGAATCCGTTGATGACACGCCCGACTATCATCTGAGGAAGATGCCATGATACGATCTGTAGGACAGCGCCAATAAGGTTGCTAAGGAGGCCAACCCAGATGGTCTTCTTGCGCCCCAACTTGTCACCGCAAACAAAGGCAAAGATTGCCCCAAAAAAGGCGCCCAGCTATCGTGTAGTTGAGCACATACACTGGTTCAAAGGTAAGCTTGTTACTTACTGCAAAGCAGCTGGAAACAATTCCAGAGATACTCGCGACCTTAGTCTCTGGAAACCAGTACTTGAAGTCGGCTGAGATGAGAACTGATGAGAAAACGCCCTGATGGACCGTTAATGCCTAACTTTCCTGAACCTGATACGACATGGGCAAGCTTACCTGGTCGTAACCAAACCATGACATGGAGACTAAGTCGACGCATCAGCACAGAACTCATAATAGAGTGACCGAGTCACTGACCAGCATTGACAAGTGTCACGCACACCAAGAGTGGCGTGCCGCTGAGATTACCCAAAGCCATTGAGTATCAGTCTTGTGAAGAGAGGATTGTGAGAGGATGACGATAGGATCAAACAATGGAGGAGGTGATGGCCTGTTGCCATTTATAATAATCACAGGGGACACTATCTCTATATCAGGCGCCTTTGCCGGTTTCCGGACGTTTGGGTCTGGGGTATGGTCTGGGGAACCTCGAGCTAATGGGGCGTTGTGCGGGGAAATTGATCAGACAACCCATCGGCTGATACACGCTTCGGCGTAGACTACGCGAGAGTACTCCGTGGCGAGGGAGGAATTAAATCCGGGTAGCATTAACCGCTTCGACACAAGCTAGTCTAGTATTAGTCTTGGTATGGACGAGCGTTATTGGCGGCGGGGATAGGCGGCAGAGCGCCCGCGCCTCTATATCGGCTAGCTAGCGGGGTGAGGCGGCACAATGAACCGACAGTGAAGACATTGAGAGCTCACCATACGGTACGACACAAGTGATACGAATAGTGGCCAGCTGCTTATGCACATACGGTTGAAAGGATGAAGTTAAATTATGTAAAAAATTAATCTGATAACTTGCGATTTCCTTTCCCTTTGTTATTGATACTCACTCCTGAGCATATCCTATCTGAGATGATGTCCTCGCCTCCCGCAATGTTCGTCCAAACATACATTTCTCTTACACTATGATAAAACGACTGACTGGTCTTGACTCATTAGACAATACGTGTTGGTCACTGGCGCCACCGGGTTTATTGGTGCACATGTTGTCGACCAACTTCTTTCGCGCGGTATAAAAGTCCGCGGGGCTACTCGATCATTATCTAAAGGCAAGGCGATGGTTGATGCAAGGCCTGAGTTTCGAGAGAAGCTTGATTTCGTTAATATCGACGACTTTGAGAATCCGGGAGGGTTTGTGGAGGCTATCCAGGACATTGATGCTGTTATTCATGTGGCAAGTGTACGTGCTATGAAAGACCAGCATAATGTTACGCAGATTTTGACCTCATCTAGCCTTTCACGTATGACACCAAGGACAACAAGAAGGAATTGGTTACACCAGCAATCAATGGCGTTGATTCCATCCTCAAAGCGGCAGCTACTTCGCCGAAAGCAAAGCGCGTCGTCATCACGTCTTCCTTTGCATCCGTCCTTGATGCTGGGCGCAAGGCACCACCGTACTTTACTTATACTGGCGATGACTGGAACCCTCTATCATACGAAGAGTCGATCGACCCGGGAACGAGTGCTGTGATAGCATATCGCGGATCTAAGAAGTTTGCAGAACTCAAAGCTTGGGACTTCATGGCTAAAGAGAAGCCCTCCTTCGACCTAGTCACCCTTTGCCCGCCTATGACGTTTGGTCCCATACGACATCCCGTTACGAACGTCGAGGCGCTGAACGAGTCAAACAAGATGCTCTTCAAAATAGCCTGCGGTGAAAGTCCGCTCCCAGTTGCGAGGGTACCATTCTGGATCGACGTTCGCGACCTGGCGAAAGCTCACATGGAGGCACTTCTGCGGCCCGAGGCTGGCGGAAAGCGATACATTCCAGCGTCTCCTGAGAGATTTACATACAGCAAGGCCGCCAGCATCATTGGATCACATTTTTCCTGGGCAGATAATGTGTCGACAGAGCTGCAGGCTCCCGATGAGTCTCATGGTGTGGATGGGGAGACGGCTGGGCGGGAGTTAGGTCTTGATTACATACCTTTTACAAGGACTATTATCGACTTGATTACGCAAGTTAGGGGTATGCACAAGCCATGATTATTCGACCTGGTTTACATAACACTAAATTAAAAAAAAATTAGCCAAAGGTATAAACTATAGTTCTGCCTATGTTTAATATTGCCCTATAAGATTTACAAGGGTCTCTATCCTTATATTAGCCTAGGCTTCTTAAAAATGCAAGAGCGCAACTTACTTCTAATATTCTATATATAATGCAGTAAGAGACTAAATATATTGCCAACATGTACAAAGTCCTCAACCTCAGCACTGTTCTGTAAGGAACGTTTAGAACATTTAAGGCTTATAAGATAACTCGACACAGGCAGGCGCTAGTAACGTGCCAAGCCGAAGGCGGGTGTAGGCGGTTATAGGCGGCATTGGCAACCAGAACGGTGTTAACTGGCCCAGAGCAATTTAGCGTCTTAAGTGAGTTTGGCCATTGTAATATAGGGTATCTAAGCAGTTAACTAAATAATACAAGACAAGTAAATACTTAACCTACTGGCTCTTGGTCAGAAATACATAGAATATGCTTAGATTGCAAAAGGGCAATGACCTGTTCTAATAAATAAAATTGCTAAGGCCTGCATTGAATGTAAAATTTGGCGACAAGATAGCTTATCAGGATCGCATCTAACTTCGACATAACGCAATCGGGACAGCTACTCTGATCTCCCATTTCAGTGTTGCTCTACGTCAAGCACCTTAGTCCTGTTAGCCTTTCTAATATGTCATTATCGTTCTCACTATGCATTCCTCATATAAACACAAAAGAGAATTCTATAACAGTTAAACACTGCTGATGCCAACCGGTATATTGTAAATCCGTCCCGCTGAGTGCGGGGTGCGATTGTTTTCACCATACATTATTTACTGTATTATTCTTTTTGTCAACCGTGTTCGCGTTCTAGAATTGAACATGAGCTTCAATCGGCAGAGAGTCGCGTTGGCATGCACTTATTGCCGCCACCGGTAAGCGGCGTGCCATCGAAGACGGAGGCGCAAGTTGCTGAGCTGCAGTAGGAAACGGCGATGTGACGCCACCAAGCCGAGATGTAATAACTGCATCAGGTCAGGAGCGGACTGTCATTACGATGATGGCCCCTCGCAAAGGTACTGTCACGCTACCGCCTGCTCTAGACGCAGTCTAACGATTGTTTCACAGAATCGATACTTCTGGGGGTACAAAGGAAATAATAAGTCGGTTGAAAGATATCAAGGACATGCTGGTTGAGCAACAGCAGCACTTAACAAGCTTATCATCTCGGGACCATTCTCAGCCAACATCTCGCGTCAGTTCATCGCCATGCGCTGTATCAAATGCAAACCGTGGATTGATAATCAGTGCTCCCGCGAATGGCACGCAAGCCGCCGAAGACGAGCCTGTACAATTCTCCTCGAATTTGAGAGAGCCGTTGGACGTAGCATCTGAACCGATGAACATTCCGGCTGAGCACAAGACCTCTTCAAGTTACCTCCTAGGTCTCCCAGCGGTAAAAATGCTAGTGGGTGAGTATCCAACAAACCTATTCTTCCTCCTAGAGAGCCAGAGTCCTCTGCCACCGGAACTGTCTCCAGAACAGTCGCAGAATCCGCTGCCTCCTTTTCAAGTTGATCGATCGGTGCTTGACCACCTAGTTACCACCTTCTTCTCGTCAGTACACGTTAGCCATCCAGTAATCGACCAGGCAGAGTTTACAGAAATCTACGAAAGGTTCCTGGAGAAGGGAGCAGGCTCGAGCACTGAGTCAGCTTTATGCATGACAGTCTTTGCTTTGGGTGCTGTCTCCCGTCAACCGATAGGTTCATGCCATCCACAGACTTCTCCTAATGGTACAGGATACATGAAATATGCTCTACCAACGCTCATGCTTCGCTCATTGTGGTTGTTTTCCTTCGATCTCACATTAGCGCAAGCACTTGTCTTGGCGAGTGTCTACTTTGCATATATTGTCCGTCCGCTTCACAGTTGGCGACTTATATACTTGGCTACTAATCTCTTACAACTCAAGCTTTCAAGGTCAGTACCAGGTACTATCAGCTAGCTAATCGCTAACAAGACCAGCTTGGATTGCCAAAAGCAAACGCTCAATACAGAGTTCGATATACTGCGGTTGTTTTGGTCTTGCTTTATTATTGAATGTGACAGACTTGCCGAGCTAGAGCTTCCCAGAAGCAGTCTCCAGCAATTGACAGATGACGCAAACCTGCCGCAGTGCGGAAATCTGGATGATCTTCACATGACAGCCTATCTGGCCGAGATATCAATCCGACGACTTCTGAACCGCATTCACAACTCCCTGTACCCAAGAACACCAACTTCTCTCAACAAGTCTCTTTCATCAACCTCACTTATGACACCAGAAGAGTTCTCTATCGACGAGCTAACTTCAATCACCTCTGTATGTGAAGAATTGCACCGTCAACTCGACCTATGGCACGCAGCCATCCCTGAGCCCTTCCGACCACCACTGAATTTTGAAGAAATAGAGAATGACAGGATATCGATACTGAGAATTCGGTACTATGCCGCCAGACATATTATTTATCGACCTTTTGTTCTTCATGTGACAACGCACCCGAGCCCACACGTCTCGAGTGCAATTGTTGAGAAGGCAGGTATTTGCATTGAGAGTTGCAGTCTATATCTATACCATACCTCTAAGATTCTTCGCGCTCCAAGTCAATACACATGGACTTTTGCACTATCGTAAGTATCCCCCATCACGCCACAGTATCTTATCCTAAACCAGAAAATCAGGTCGCTTGGGGCGGTGATCATACTGACATTGTCATCGCTCAATTCTGAGCTCCGGCACTTTGTTCCTGATATAGAGAGCCTCCAAACTCTTGCGATTGATAATTTGAGTCAATGGAATGTTTCCAGTCTCGTCGACGTTCTGGCGATACTCAAGGAGATAAGGAGGAAGACACGTCTTCGAACAAGAGTCTGATGATCTATGATCTTGACATCGCCTGTTTCTCCGAATATTGGGATTCTACTTCACATTACTATGAAAGACGTCTTGGTGTAAGAGTATGTTAGTTAATAGATGAAAGGAGTCGATTATAATGTTATAGCTCGCCGCCCGTAGGCTGCGCGATGATCTCCAACCCGATTTCAGATGTCCAGAACTTGCCATCAGGATAAGTGTACTTTTCAAGCGCTTCGTCGGTGTAGCCTGTAGAGTAACCTGGTGATAATGGCGTTACGTAGTGAGTATTGACAATCTTGGAGGGATGTCGCAAGTTCTCGCGGTGACTGTCGGCGTTTTCCAGCATTGACTTGCGTCCACTGATAGCAACGTAGTCAATCGTGCTGAGATGGGACGTCAGTTCCGTCAGGCCCATTGCACCATTATGTGGAACGCATGGGATATTGAACTTGAGGGCCATCAGCATGACCGCCTAAAAGGAGGCTGATTAGCTTGGGGCGTGAACTACTGTTGAGGACTTACAAGGCACTCGTTAACGCTACCAAGTCTCACAGCATCGATTTGGGCAACGTCAGTTGCTTCAGCCTGCAGTAATTGCTTGAAAGTGACTCTGTTTTGTGCTGCTTCGCCCGTTGCAACACCAACACCATACGGCTTCAGCGCTTTGCGAATAGCTGCGTGTCCGAGCACGTCGTCTGGATTTGTCGGTTCTGCAAGGGAATCAGGAATGTATGTCTAGTTGGCTGAAGGACGTTGAGGCATACCTTCAATGAAAACAGGCTTGAACTCCACCAAATGCTTCATGTACTCAACAGCCTCCGGTACACTCCATACCTGTTCCGACGTCAGTGATAACTTTCATTAAGGGAGTGGCCACTTGCCTGATTGGCATCAATCATAATCTGGTAGTCGTTATCATAGCCCAAGACGTCTCTCACAGCAGACAACCTTTCTCTATCGGCCTCGATGCTGGTACCAACCTTGAACTTGAAGACCTTGTATCCCTGCGCCAATGTCTCATGCAGAACCTCCTTCATCCTATCGCCAGAGAACGCCATCCACCCGGCGGATGTCGTGTAGGCTGGTACGGCAACATTATCGAATGCCTCCTTCAAGCGTTCCTCCTTGCCTTGGGCAGTCTTTTGAAGCATACCAATGGCCTCGTCTGGTGTGATGACGTCGGTGATATACCTAAAGTCGATACAGCGGACAATCTCCTCGGGACTCATCTCACACACGATCTGCCATACTGGAAGACCCAATATCTTGCCCCAGAGATCCCAGACAGCATTTAGTACGCCAGCAACAGCCAAATGCGTCACGCTCTTCTCAGGACCGATCCATCTGTATTGGGAGTCGGAGACCATATATCGCCAGGTCTTGCCCATATTCCGAGTCAACTCATGCATTGTCTTTCCAATCACGCGTTTAGCGAAGATGTTGAGAGCCATACAAATGAGTTCGCTTCCGCGCCCGTTGCTGAAAGCCTGCAGTATCATTAGCAACAATTTTAAAGGTGTTGAACGCAACGGGACTGACAATGCCTTCACCGATCAGATCACGGTGATTGGTATGAAGTTGAATGTATGGATGCGACCCATTCGTGCCAACATGCATAGCGTCTGAGCCAACTCCGTCTAGACTAGTGGGGAATCTGATGTCTGTAACGGTGAAGCTGGTGATGGTGACATCATCAACTTCTAACGGTGTCTTTGAAGATGGCATGGTAGCGGCGTAGACAGGAGGGGATACAGATTCTGGTGATTCAAGTTTGGAAGCTACAGGTTGATTTGTACATCATCTTGTGTTGACCAGGGCCCTTTAATAGCCTGTCCCATTACCATTGATGGCAATAAAGATTGCGGAAGTCAGGTCCGCAATTAAGAGGATTGCGGGGTTTGTTCAGCGGGCTTATCTGCCGACTATCCCCGCGAGCTGCAACTACGTGCTACTGTAGATGAAAGGAAGAAAGCTCAGGACGTCAACCCTCAGTGGGAAAGACTTAGTCAATATCGCATAAAATTAGAATATCCTCTTCTAGATTTATTTCTACTAATTTGCATTTTAGTCTGATATTATCATGCTCCCTAAGACGCTGCCACGCATTTGCTCCCCTGGCAGAACTGATAAAAAGAGCTAACATGGGACCTCAGGAGCTAACGAATCCTCGTATCGCTGCTCTTCGTGGCGCAGCAGGCGTCTTCCGTCAGCGGCTGCTGAAGTTCTTGGGCCTTAATATAAACTGGGTCATCTGCCTCTCACGTCCCTCTAATCTTTGCTTCCCCGCATTATATTACCCGCGTTGATTGACTACGGCGCACTCAAGCACATATCTCTTGACTGCCCTTGCCCAAAATGGCCCACGCCCTCGACCTTACGGGCTGCGCTGAATTAGAAGAGCTTTTGCAAAACTGCAAAGCCATTATCCTTAAAGCAGAGGCTACCTTATCTACACTCTACAACAAACGCGCCTCCTTCAGGAAGATAGCTGATAAATAAGGTTATGAGACTGTGAGCATAACTTGGCGAGATGTATTTATAGGAATATTCTCGAAGTTGTCTACGTGTATTGGACTTCTAAATACACATTTGGAAATATAACCATCTCATTAGGCCCAATTGCCTGTACCACCTGCAACACCGGTGGCCCACCCGACATTGCCTGACTGGTAGGTGGCGAAAAGGTTGTTGTTCTTGCGGAAGTAAAGGGCGAAGTATGACTAGAAGATGCTCGAATTACTACTTTGTTTCTCGATATCCGTGAAACCTCGGACAAAAGGGATATTATGAAGAAGAATAAAGAAGTAAACTTACTATAAAACCCGTGAAAACAACATCACAATCACCACTGAGATCACTTGCATCATCATAGTACAGCGTGCCACTATACAAACGCTCTTATTAGCACAGCGTCATCTAATATCAGCGGATGGATATCGATTAGCTTACAATGTTGCTCCACCAGGGAAGCCCGGTGTGACACCGCCCATGTTGATGGTGCATGTTTTACCAAGGGCATTGACATAGACACGTTGGTAAACCCAGAGGTTGATGACACTACCGTTCGCTGAGGTCTCGTTTCTGAACCCCGCTGCCTTTACCTCAGGAGCGGCAGCGTCAGCAGTGTTGCTGGTGATATCTGCCTTGGTTGCGGTGGTAGCAGCTAAGGAAGCCAAGTCTGACGGTCCATCAGGCTCGGCGAGGATATATTTGTAAAAGCTGTCCAGGTCTGAGGGAAGTTGGCCGCCATTTTGAGAAGCCACGAGCTTCTTGAAAGTCTCAAAGCTCACATCGTTGGGTTGAGCTACAGCAGCCATTGTAGTAGTTTTGCGTTAGATAGTTATCACTTAAAGAAAATTGTAGAAGCTGAAGCTGCAATGACAGTTAATAATAATAGGGATCTGTGGAATATTTATACTTTAAGTCTTAGTAATGTCTGTATATCTGCAGTGCTTTCACTTAGTAAATGGTCGCCTTCTAAACTGTACTGACAGGGTGGAATAACACTTTCACTTTTACTTGCACATACTCAGGCAGCTTTCAGCGAGCCACGAGTATTACTTAAACGTCTCGCGGACAAGACTTTTCGTCTACATCTGGAATAGGAGCTTGCGATTTGCTCTCTTACGAGTTAGGGTAATATTTCAAACAAGCGATAACAGATATTGCTTCTAGCCTGGTACTCTGTCGCTGAAGCCTCAGTGGTGATAGGATATAGATACGGAGTGGGATCTGCCGAGGTGTTTTACATATCAACGGCCGCTTCTGTGGCTGGCTGAAAAGTACAAGTGGGCCAATATTGGACACATCTGGCTAGAATCGGAAGGTTGTTTCCTTTTGCGGGCCGCGTATGCCACTAGGCTATGTTGTGCTATGTTATCTTGGACCAGCGTTGTCGTCGGCCGCCCATGCGGGGTGATTGTGACAGGATTACATTAGTGTGCTTAGCTTGTCAATTCCTTAGATAGTCAGGCGCCGCTCTGATTCTTCTGTTAGTCAGTATGTGTTAGCAGATGGGATTGGGAATAGTATTCAGCTGTCACATAGCAGCTGCACGAACACGACAAAATGGACTGGATGACGCTTACATACTGCTCATGCATATGCTATTACATCCTGGATTAACTTAGCGAACAAACTACTGCTGACTGCTATTTAGAACTTGCCATAATTGGCAAGGTCAGTTACCTGAGAGCAGTGTTACTTATTCTGAAGACACATTCCACGCCTCGACATCTGCCCGAGACTCTACCTTTAGCTTTAGCTTTACACAGTCTTCCTTCATAGATTCGACTCCTAGACCTACGACTCGCCCATAGACAGAGCTATTGGGACTACCCCAACTGTATCAAGAGTTAGAAGTAGTGAAGTTATAATATTCTGATAAGGAATTTCTCTATAACGAAATCCATCTTTAAGTGGTAAGCTGTATCAGAGACAGCCAGCCACGAAGCCCTTTAGCTGTAGGGAGATTATTTAGGAAGCTCAATCGGGGTCCAGCGTCTTAACACCTTTTCACTGGTTTCAACCCAACGTGGCTGTCTTGTAGGGCATGAAGTCGAAGTTATCGCATAATATCACTGTCACACTGCTGGACAACAGCGCAGTCTTGATAATTCAGCCGTCCACTGCCAAGCCTAGCATGATCGTTTATCGATTCAGGGAACATCGCTCGGAGCGCAGTTGGTTGATATACGACGGTAACTGTACGTTCGCTGCACGTATCTGCACCAGTGCTCGCTAGAGCAACTATTAATTCTTCGTTAGTAGCGGCCTTAGCCGCTGTGGCACTCGCCATTTTGGGCTTAAATGCGCTGGTGATGTCTCAAACGAGCAGCTGAAGTGACGGAGCGGGCTAGTCTAGTGGCTCCCCGCGGCGACTAGTGAATCTAGATCGCTTAGACCTAGCCAGTGGCTAGCTGATGGCTCTGAAAGATCCAAATATGGCTTCATTGCAAGACATTGAGCACAGCGTCGTGAACGTTGGCAAAGCGAGACCTCCAATGAACCAGTCACAACTAGTATCAATGGCCGTCACATGCCTTAGTCTCAGTCAGCGCCGGCGCGAAGAGCTTCTGGCTGTAGATACCTCACTTCTACCTCCGAATTCCAGTCTTGCGCAAGCGAGGCCTTTGATTAATCTCGGAGATATAAATATGGGCGATACAACAATGAAGAAATTGATCATCACTCATCTCAATCCTCACGTTCAAGCAAGAATATTTCTTATATCATCATGGATTTCACCGGCGAGACCTTTCCCATTATGGGCATCCCCTCTGATGCTCAGCGCAAGACCGACAACATTCCCTACGCTCCGGGTCTTCCTTGCCGCCGTGAGATATCCCACTACTTCCCCTCCGATGATGCCTTCACACAGAAACAGTGGACTCTCATGGTTCTTGCCCTTAATCGCTTCAAGGAGCTTGAAGTTGATAAGAGGCTGTCTTACTTCCAGGTCGCAGGTATCCATGCATACCCTCTACAGCCATGGGATGGCGCTACGCGCCCTAACCAAGACCCCAAAAACCCCAAGGAACTGCCTCCTGGTGCTAATCCCTACGGAGGATACTGCGAGCACAACACCATCACCTTCGCGACGTGGCATCGACCCTATATGCTGCTGTTTGAGGTACGTACAATAATATCTCTTGCCTTTACGGCCATCCGTTGCTGATTTGTAATTTAAGCAACTTGTGTGGACTCATATGAAGGACCAAATCATGGACTGGGTAAAGGAACAGAAGCTCGACCCCAGTGACGCTCCTGAGTGGGAGAAAGCAGCTAATGAGTGGAGACTTCCATACTGGGACTGGGCTGGTAAGAAGTACAGCAAGAAGCACGGACAAAAATACGCTCTCCCAGAGATCTTTCGCTTCCCGGTAATAACCACGTATCCCCCCTACGACACAAGAGGAGAGACAGGAGTCACGAATCCATTCTACGAGTTTAAGAATCCCATGAAAGACGACAAAGGTAACGCAAGAGCATTTGGAGACATGCCAGCAGGCATGACTCAGTGGAAAATCCCGGACCATGTTGAAAAGGGAGATCCGGGAAAACCCGATGTCATACTGCCAGTAAGGCTCCATTCCATTTCGATTGCCTCCAGCTCATCTAAATAATGTCTTAGTGGAGCAAATGCTCAGCGACAAGTCGCTATGGTCTACGAAGCGAAGATGGCGTAACTTGGACAGGCCTTGCCGGTTTCAATAACTTCGACGAAGCCAACAAGACTTTGAGCGCGTTTGATGAGGGCTGGTATCCTCCCTACTCGAAAGGAGACGAAAGGAATAAGAATTTTCAGGGTCCCGGCACACTTTCCGATGCTGTTAATCGTCTGTTTTCCCCAGAGTATACGGACACCTGGGAGACTTTTTCCAGCACCAAATGGTGGAACGAGAGTGCTCAAAAAATTAGTACGGGCTATCTTTCGCTGGAGTATATCCATAACAACGTGCATGTAAGTTAACGTCGCTCGGAACCGATTGATTAGGTATTGACTTGTTGAACAGAACCTTACCGGCGGTTCAAATGCCAAGCTTCGTAATCCAAATAAGCCAGATCAGAAAGGAGGATTGGGTCTTGGTCACATGTCGGATGTTCCTGTGTCGGCATTTGACCCCATCTTCTGGCTCCATCATTGGTAAGTGGAATTTACCGGATAGAACTCATCACTCCTTGCTAACAATCCTCAGTAACATCGATCGCTTGCTTGCCATGTG